TGCTGTTGGTTCACCCTCCAATGGCCACCGCGGCCGGCGCGCTGCAGCCAGCACACTGCGCTGATCCAAGGCGGAGCCAGGTGCTTCTCATGGTCTCCCATGAGGTGCAGGGCCCAAGTACTTGGGCCACCCTCCACTGCACTCCCAGGCCACAGCAGAGAGCTGGCCTGGAAGAGGGGCAACCGGGACAGAATCCGGCGCCCCGACCGGGACTAGAACCCGGTGTGCCGGCGCTGCAAGGCAGAGGATTAGCATAGTGAGCTGCGGCGCCGGCCTGTGATTTCATTTTATTAAAAATATTTTCTAATTTTCATTGTGGTTTCTCCTTTCCTTCATGGGTTGTCTTAAAGCATATGGTATAATTTTCAAATATTCGAGAAGTTTTCAAATGTCTTTCATTAATGATTTAGATTCTGTTGTGGTCAACCAACACACTCAATATTTAAATCCCTCAAATACGGTGAGACTTGCCGGAGGCTTGGAATCTTGTTTACTTTTGTGTGTGTCCCATGTACACCTGAAAACAAAATGCATTCTATTTCTGGATGGAACACTGTATAAATGCCAATTAAAAGGTTGGTTCATGGTGAGTTTTCTTTATACCAATTTCATCACATTTGGAAAATATGTGGCCATTTCTCTTTTAGTAGTCTTCCTCTCTCACCTTTTCTCCCTGGTCTCCAGTCATTCCTAAGTCACACACTGAAGATCAGTCATTGGGCCACTAAGGCTCTGTTAATTTTTGAATGTTTTCTTTTCTCACTGTCTTGGGGTTTGGAAAACTTCTGCGGTGGTAAGTTCAACGTCACTGATCTTTTCTTCTGTTGCTGTCACACTGTGAGGGCCCAGGATCAAACAGGCCTCCAAGAAGATCCCAAAGAAAACCACCCAGAAGTCCAGCAGGGACACTTACCTTTGTCACATGCAGGACCGAGGGTGGCCAGTCAATCACACGTCTGCTCGCACCTGGCCACAGCACACAGTGTAAGACAGCAAAACCAGCACAGCTGGTTGGTGGGTACTCCTGGCATTCCACACCGGCTTCCCCACCAGACTCGACTAAGACGCTGACCCTGGAGGTTGAGGGAGTGGGCCTATCCCAGGTTAGAGAACACATTTTCTCTTGGGGTAATGGCAATCATCTAATCTTCGAGTTTTTTCCTTTCTTTTTTTTTTTTTTTTTTTTTTTTTTTTTTTTTTTTTTGACAGGCAGAGTGGACAGTGAGAGAGAGAGACAGAGAGAAAGGTCTTCCTTTGCCGTTGGTTCACCCTCCAATGGCCGCCGCGGCCGGCGCGCTGTGGCCGGCGCGCTGCGGCCGGCGCACCGCGCTGATCCGATGGCAGGAGCCAGGAGCCAAGTGCTTTTCCTGGTCTCCCATGGGGTGCAGGGCCCAAGCACCTGGGCCATCCTCCACTGCACTCCCTGGCCACAGCAGAGAGCTGGCCTGGAAGAGGGGCAACCGGGACAGAATCCGGCGCCCCGACCGGGACTAGAACCCGGTGTGCCGGCGCCGCTAGGCGGAGGATTAGCCTAGTGAGCCGCGGCGCCGGCTTTCCTTTCTTTTTAATGCTGATGTGTGTCTTAGCACTTGAGTTCCGTTTGGTTCCTTTCTCGTCTTCCAGTCCTCTCCTCAGTTGTCCATGCTTTATTTAGGTCCCGAAACAGTTCAGGGCAGCGCCGTCGCCCCTGTCTGACCCCACAGCTCTTCGTCTCTGGGTGTGCTTCTGCAGGCGGCTTTGTCCCACGGTGACGAGCGGCACTCTCCTCGTGTCCGTATGTCCGGTTGTGGCTGAACGTTGTCCTTCTTCCCTAGAGAGTGCCGGGCCTGGGAGGCCCCGCTCAGTGACGCTGCCGGTGGCTCTGAGGCTTCATGCTCGCTTTGAAGCTCTCTGAGGGCAGGTGCGACTCCGCGCTAAACACTTGCAGGGTTCGGGGAGTTTTCTCGCCGGGTATTTGGAACTTAGATGTCTTCTGACCCTCGGGAGCTCCGAGAATGACTGACCTTGAGTCGCCCGGTCTGCTCAGCCTGCGGGTTCCACGCTCCACCTGATGGTGCGTTCTCAGCGGCGCACTCCAGGCACCTCTGGAAGCCCCTCCCCAGCGCCCCACACTGTGGGAGAGCTGGCAAGGGAGAGGCCCGCCCTGGACCCCGCCACTGCTGGGGAGGGCGTGTGAGGGTGCGGTTCCCGGGAGACACGGACCACGCAGACAGCAGCCCCTGACTGTGCACTCTGAAGTCTCCCGGCGGTTTCATCAGATTCATTCCTAGAAAGAGCGAAGGCAGTGCTCAGGGGCCAGGCTCAGCCTGGGGCGCACCGAGGAAGCACACGGCCGGTGGTCCCGGAGCCTGGGTCTCTGGTCACTCCTGCTGTCCCTGCTGACGCCACCAGCTGCTCAGCGGGCAGACCGCGAGACCGAGATGGTCTTGTCTCCGTTATTTCCGATCGAGTCAGAAATCCAGAGGACGTCTTTCTGCAAACAAGACACAGGAGCCCGTTCCCTTGAGGACACGACCTTCGCCCCACGGTCTGTGCAGGCCGAGCGCCGTGGCGGGGACAGGCGCCTCCTCCGGTCCTCGGTGTCGAGGCCGGCTCGCGGTCAGGGTTCTCTCTGGCCACAGGCGCGGCCATGAGCAAACGACCTGCGACCCTCACAAGCACCCGGTTAGCGCCACAGCACCGCCGCGGGTCCCCGCAACCTCACCTGCGGCACTCGCATCCCAGTCCACGTCCACTTCCGCGGGACGCAGTGAGCTCCAGCCGCGTCCACTTCCGCCTGCGCCGGCGCGCTGAGCTCCCTGCCTCCTCCACTTCCGCCGCGCGTCCACTTCCGCCGCAAATCCACTTCCGCCGCGCGTCCACTTCCGCCTGCGCCCTCCACTTCCGCCGCGCGTCCACTTCCGCCTGCGCCCTCCACTTCCGCCCTCGCGTCCACTTCCGCCCCTGCGCCCACTTCCGCCCCTGCATCAGGGAGATCCCGCCCCTGCGCCCACTTCTGCCTGTACATCAGGGAGATCCCGCCCTCGCGTCCACTTCCGCCCCTGCGCCACTTCCGCCCCTGCATCAGGGAGATCTCGCCCCTGCGCCCACTTCCGCCCCTGCATCAGGGAGATCTCGCCCCTGCGCCCACTTCCGCCTGTACATCAGGGAGATCCCGCCCTCGCGTCCACTTCCGCCCCTGCGCCACTTCCGCCCCTGCATCAGGGAGATCCTGTCTCCTTCTACTTCTGCCCCGCGTCCACTTCCGTGAGCTCTCAGCCACTCTCTCGCTTTGCTTTGAAAATCTTTTTTTTTTTTAAAGAATTATTTATTTGAACATCAGAGTTACACGGAGAGAGCAGGAGAGGCAGAGAGAGAGAGAGAGAGAGAGAGGTCTTCCATCCACTGGTTCAGTCTCCAAATGGCTGCAATGGCCGGAGCCGCACTGATCCGAAGCCAGGAGCCAGGAGCTTCTTCCAGGTCTCCCACGCGGGTGCAGGGACCCAAGCACTTGGGCATCTTCTACTGCTTTCCCAGGCCACAGCAGAGAGCTGGGTGGGAAGTGGAGCAGCCGGGTCTCAAACAGGTGCCCGTATGGGATGTTGGCGCTTCAGGCCAGGGCCTTAACCCACTGCGCCACAGCGCCGGCCCCTGAAATTCCTTTTTGCTGTCGTAATCAGTGGACTGAAGTTGGTGCCTCCTCGGTGGTGCCCACGCATCATCATCCGAACTTGATTTCTTAAATCGCCCAATCACAACCACAGTGTCTCTGGCATACCACGTGTCTGTGTGTTCCCACATGGCCACCACCATCCTCGCCAGTCCACGACGCCTTACGGGCAGTCTCATACCCGAAACCCAGCTCCCCGGCGTCACACCCCGCCCTGGGAAGGACCCCCATGCGGGAGAGCCGTGGATCCAGAAGCTACCACAGCCGGGGAAGCGACAAGGCAGTGGACACTCCACAAAATGGCCATGGAGTGAAACTGGTATAGGAATTAGGGCCCAACCCAAAAGGGCCCCAAAGGTCATGGGGCTGCACCCAAGCCTCCGATGCCAAGTGCAGACCCCTGGGAGCCCCGCCCCCTGTGCACAAGAAGCACCCAGGATCCCTGTGGGTAGCAGGACACTGAGCCAAGGGTGTTACAGAGCCAAAAGTCTTTAATGGTGCATTTGCTCAAGGGCCTTTAGAGACGGACTCAGCACATGGAAGGGAGGCTGCCCAAGGGGATACGCAGGCATGGACGATGCCCTGTGGTCCAGCTCAGCCCCACACAGGACCAGCAGACACCAGGGTGCATTCTAACTGTAGGGTGACCAGCTTCCAGGGGCAAGAACATGACTGGCCTGGGAAGACAAGTCCATCAGCAGCAGGACTGTCCCGAGGAGAGGCCGCAGCAGGCGGGGCGGGAGCAGGCGGGGCGGCAGAGCAGGGACACGCAGGAGGCCGGGCGGCAGCAGCTGGGCTGGCAGGAGGGGGCGGGCACGCAGCAGGCGGGCCTGCACACGGGGCGGCAGAGCAGGGACACGCAGGAGGAGGGTCTGCAGCAGGACGAGGGGCAGGGGCTGGGCTGGCAGCACGAGGGGCGTGGGCAGACGGGCACACAGCTCAGGGGCTTGCAGCAGAGGGTCACACAGCTGGGCTGCTGGCAGGGGGAGGAGCAGCACGAGGGCTGGCAGCAGGGGGAGGAGCTCCCAGAGCAGACGGGCACACAGGAGACGGGCACACAGCTCACGGGCTTGCAGCAGAGGGTCAGATAGCTGGGCTGCTGGCAGGGGGAGGAGCAGCACGAGGGCTGGCAGCTAGACTGCTGGCAGCAGGGGGAGGAGTCCCCAGAGCAGACGGGCACACAGGAGACGGGCACACAGCTCAGGGGCTTGCAGCAGAGGGTCAGATAGCTGGGCTGCTGGCAGGGGTTGGAGGAGCAGCACGAGGGCTGGCAGCTAGACTGCTGGCAGCACAGGGGCGTGCAGGAGCTGGTGCACGCTGACTGGTAGCTCCCTGGGGTGCAGAGGAGGGTCACGGAGGGGGCTGGGGCGCAGCAGCTGGGGGCGCAGCAGGGGGGCTCGCAGCAGCTCTCTGGGCAGTCGTCCACCTGCCAGGAGTCGGGGCAGGGGTCACAGGAGCCGGGCATGCAGACGTTGCTGCCGTAGCTCAGGTTGCTGGAGCAGACGGACATGGTGGAGGCGGCCGTGGCGGGCGGTGAGCTGGGCAGGGGTGAGTGGGTGAGTGAGTGAGTGGGTGAGGGTGTGTGTGGAGTGGCTCCAAGATCTCCAGCTTTTATCCCCTGCAGGGTGTGTGTTGCCCCAGCAGGAGGCTCTGCATCTCCCACCCTTCCTTGTTGGTGTTTGGAGCCTTTCCTTGGAGAACAAACAGTGGCTGACTCAGTTTCCCGAGTGGTTCCTCAGCTTGCAAAACTTGAAGTTGGCGTGGGTTGTTCCTGGATGTTCTTAGAAGGATCGCTGGAGGGGGCGTAGCCAGTCGTGTGCCTGCCCAGAGTCTCTTGGTGCCAAGCCCAGGGCTGTCAAGGGCCCTGGGTCCTGGGCGTGGCTGCTGTGAGTCACTCTGGGCCCCTCTGCAGTGGAAGCTTGGAGATTAGCCCTGCTTGCTGTCTAAATAAAGGTGGCCGTGTCACGGTCTCCATGCCAGGAGCTAATCATTCCCTGGCCTCAGCAGCAGACTGTGTGGTTAAGCAAATTGGACGGTCTCATGGATCTGGGGGTCAAGCTGTCAGCAGGGCCCGTTACTCTGAGGCCGTGTGGGAGGACCTGTCCTGGCCTCCATCTGCTGCTGGTGGTGGCTGGTGAACCTGGGCCTCCCTTGGCCTTGGCGTGTGGCAGCCCCGCCCAAGCCTCAGTCTGTGACCACAAGGTGTCTTCCTGGGGCTGTGCATCTGAATCCCCCCTTTCTGGGGACCCCAGTCCCTGCATTAGGGCCTGCCTGCTGACCTCATTGTAACCTGATCTGAATGGGCGCCTTCCCAGGGCTGGGGCGCTCGAGGTGTGAGCTGCTCCGGGCAAGGACTGATCCCAGGGCCATTTCTTGAATCGTGGTTCACTGAGCGGCTGTCGGCATGCCCTCTGACGCCTCGGCCACAGGCTGAGCTCAGCGGCCGGTGGTGGACACATGCGCCTACCCACCTGACCGTGGCCATCATCCCGGCTCCAGGAGAACCATGGCCTTGCATGGAAATCTCGTACTGGAGCTTGTACTGAAGGCCCAGGGCGCCTTCCTTTGTGACCTCTCGGCTTCACTTACGGGCTTTCTTGTCAGGGTCAACGCGTGCAAGAGCCCATCTTCATTCTGACAACTTCCACACAACCAGGGGTCAGGGACCTGCTCTGGACACCAGCATGGTGGCCGCTCCTCCCCAGAGCGATCTGGGACAGCCCCCGCCCCACTCCACAGCAGCGTCTGCTCTGGACCCCACTGTGTTGTGCAGAGACCCATGGGGCTTCCATGGCCTGATGGGGGCTCAGCCTGTCCTTGTCCCTGGTGAGCCTGGTCCCTGTGCAGAGGACTGGTTGGGAGCATTGCAGCACACCCCTCCCGTAGGGTTTGTCTGCTGTGTTCTCAGGGTTCCACTGAGGTCCCCGCACTAGGGACAGATCCCATAGCAGTGCAGAGTTGCAGCCTGGGGCGTCATCGCCGGTGAGGCCACTGTTGCTCCTCTGTGATTCATGAATGGTTTGGGGAGATTCTTCCCGACTTCGGGGAGACCCCGCTCTGCGTAGCCGTGGGGGTCCACACTGATGGGGCTGTTCAGGTGCTGTCGGCTCCGGCTCTCGCGGGCAGCTTCATCCCTTCTGTGCTGGGTGATTTTCTCATGAGCGCATGTTGGATTTTGTGGAATGTCTTTTTCTTCACGTGGAGACAATCGGTTTCCTGTCTCAGTCTGTTTCAGGGTGAATTCCCCTAGCTGACTGTTAACACATTTTGGCTCGGAAGTAGGTTCTGGAGCTGTGGAGCCAGCGCCGAGGTCTTGGGTACCCACAAAGTCAGAGCCCCTGCCCAGGTCCCAGGTCGCCAGGCCTCAGGCGGGCAGTGCCCGTCTCTGTGGGGCTGCGTCTGCAGGTTCCGCTGAGCACACGTCCGAGACCTCCGGCAACAGCGGCGTCTGAGCTGACCGCGCTGCCCGTTTCCTGAGCCCCCGAACAGGATGGACTAGCGACGGTTTATGCAGCGCTTGCGTGCATCAGAGGCTCCACACTCGGCGGCCCGAGCAGGCTCCGGGCAAGTCCTGTGCCATCTGATGTCCTCAGATGCAGTGTCCTCCGTGGGGTGCCTGCATGCTCGTGAGGGCCTTGGTCCCTGCGTGTCCGGGGTTTTTGGGTGTGGCAGGTGTTTCCTCCGCTGCTGTTTCCTATACAAGACGACACAGAATTGGCTTTTATCTCTTTAAATAAGGGGTACAGTTTTCCAAGGAACTGGTGCCTCCTCAGTGGAGAGCCTCTCTTGGGTGTCAGTGGCCCTCGTGGCGGTGGCCGCTGCTTTCGTGGGCTCTGGGGTGCATGCCCATGGACCTGCTGCCAGGGCTTTAAGTACATGTGCACGCGCGGCTTGTAGGGCACCCTGGTTCTCCTTGCAATGGCCGTAAGGTGTTTCGAGTCCTCCTTTTTTTGTCCTTAATATCGGAAATCTCTCCGCCCCCTCCCCCTTGTGCTCTGCCAATGCCGTCGACCCTCTTAGCCCACGGAGGGGTGATCCCTCCCCTCTCCCTGGCCACCCTCACGCCCCTCCCTGCCTGGAGCCAAGCTCCCTGGGGGCTCCTTTGCCCTTCTTTCTCTAGTTTCTCAAGGCTGAGCTCTGCCGACTGGGTCCCACCTTCCTTCCCTTCTCACGGAATGGCCCTTCCTCCGCGAACCCTGGGGCCCAACCTGGCCCGCAACCTGAGGCCTTGGATGTGCCCACCCCAGGGCCCTCCTGGGCTTGTTTCCCAGAGTCCCAGCCCCAACATGCATGTCCTGTTGCTGTGGTGTGGTGAGGACTCCCGTGTGCTGGAATTTGAGGGCAGGCAAGCACTGGGGCCTGGGGCTGTTTCCAGCACTCCTCTGCTGTTCCTGTCTGCACCTGCCAGCCGGGACATGGAGCAGGCCCGGAAAGCCACTGGATTGTGGGGCTAATCCCGCCTGGCGGGAGACAGCAGTGTTTCCTCCTGCAAAATCCCCGGGGTCAGAGGTGGGAGCAGGAGGAGGAGGAAGTGTCCTGGGTCCTTGGTCCTGGAAGGAGCCCTCTGGGTGGGATCCCAGGCGTGGAGCATCCTGTACTGGATGAGTTGGGGATGACGTTCTCCACCCCCAGGCCGGCCCCGGGCAGTCTCCTGAGACGCCATCCCTGCACCCCGCTGGACCACACATGAGAATGACAGGAAGTGAAGATCTGGTTTCGAGCTGGCAGGCACGTGGCCACGGGTGAATGGGTTCCCAGGCTCTGTGTGAGCCTCACCAAGAGCCCTGCTGCCCACCTCGTGCAGCGGGTGAGGCAGCAGCCGTTCACTGCAGCCCCGGTGATGGGCTCCAGCCGGCAAACTCAGGCCTGTAAGATGTGGTCGCAGGACGAGGCCATCCAAGCAGATTCCAGGTCTGAGGGCCCCAGCCACCCTTGGGTGACACGACACGGCGCTGGGGGACGCACAGATCAGCAGGGGTGGCCTGAGTAACGCGGGCCTGTGCTGCTCTCGGCCTCCGTGTGTCACAGGTGCATGGTCACTCGGCTCCAGTGGGGAACGAGGCAGTGATACTGATGGTTCTCACGACAGACGCCCTCCACTGAGACTTGCAGCCTCACAGCGGTGTGGCAGAGCACATGCCACAGACGCCACACTTGGGATTCGGCACTCGGAGCCTTCCTGGGCCGTGATCTGCGGCCCCCTCCTCTCCTCAGCCACGGCGGGAGGGAAGTGACTGTGCTCAGCAGGGCGCTTGTGCTAAGTGTGTGGTGGCTTGGGTGCAGTAATGCATTTTCCACTCAGCAGTGCGTTCCACCTTCTCCAGCTCAGCTGAGCTCCTGACAGGGGCCAGTCCCCATGCTTCCATTTTCCAGGGAAGGCTGAGAGGCTGAGGGCGCCGCAGGCCAGACCTGGAGCCCAGGGTCTGTTTTAGGGTCCCGTGTGCAGCCAGCTTTGAGCTGGTCCCTCTGGCTAGCACATCCCTCTGCCGAGCTACACTCGGCTTCAAGGCAGCCACCATTCCCTTCTGAAAGGACCATCACAAGAAGCCAGGCGGGCCCCAGCAGGACTCCCACGGGCACACGAGCCAAGGGTGGCCCCCGGTGTGGCCTGCCAGTGATGGATTTGAGGCATCTCGGGGGTAGGTCCTGGGCTGAGCCCTGTCACCTGCACCTGGTGAGAGCTGTGTCATTTCCTGGGATGGCCACGGAGGAGAGTGTGAGCCATCTCTTGGGGAGGCTGTGATCGGCACCAAGCCAGCTTCTCATCCTCTGTCTGTGGAGAACTCCCCCAGGAAGGGACAAAGCTCCCTGTGTAGGCAGGGAACACCAACACATCTGGGGTGGGTTTTTGCCAAAGCAAAGCCCACTCCTATTTGCCCAGATTGCCCAGGGTGGGGGAGGGGCTCCACATGGCCCAGCCACACCCTGGGGGTTGGCAGTGCCACAGGGAAACCACCCCTGGCAGGGTCTCTCAGAGGCTTGGGGTGGGCCTCGGGTGCACAGAGCCTGCTGGGCCTCGCTGGGCATCTCCAGGGCCAAGCCCAGACTCCCCAGGGTGTTGGTCAAGGTCCCAGAATAGAGTTGTCCCACAATCCCCACCTCCAGGGGCCAGAATCCTGCCAGTATCATGGTGGGACCTGTCCCTCCTCCAGGTGTTGGCTACCTTTAAGCATTCACAACAGTGGAGAAAACACAGGTCCTTCCTCGCAGGTGCTCCATGGCCTGGCAGCTTTTTAAAATGTATTCGTTTTCATTACTATTTGATAGGCAGAGACGCTGAGAGGTAGACAAAGAGAGACCTTCCATCCACTGGGTCACTCCCTACATGGGCGCAACCACCAGTGCTGCAGCCAGGAGTCGGGAGCTCCATGTGGGCCTCCCACGCAGAAGGGGCCCAGTGCTTGAGCCATCCGTCACCTGCTGCCTCCCAAGGTGAGGATTAGCAGGAAGCTGGACAGGAAGTGGAACCAGACACTCAGATACATGACACAGGCATCCCAAGTGTGACGTAACCATTGTGGCAACACCTCCCTCCCAACCCGGTGGCATATCTCGTAGCACTGTGCAAGGTCACGAGAGCTGCCGCACTGTTGGCCTCCTGCGGTTAGACAAACACAGCATTGTGTACTTTTTCTGACAGGCAGAGTGGACAGTGAGAGAGAGAGAGAGAGAGAGAGAGAAAGGTCTTCCTTTGCTGTTGGTTCACCCTCCAACAGCCGCTGCGGCTGGCGCACTGCGGCTGGCGCGCTGCGGTCGGCGCACCGCGCTGATCCGATGGCAGGAGCCAGGTGCTTCTCCTGGTCTCCCATGGGGTGCAGGGCCCAAGCACTTGGGCCAACCTCCACTGCACTCCCTGGCCACAGCAGAGAGCTGGCCTGGAAGAGGGGCAACCGGGACAGAATCTGGCGCCCCGACCGGGACTAGAACCCGGTGTGCCGGCGCCGCAAGGCGGAGAATTAGCCTAGTGAGCCATGGCGCCGGCTAGCATTGTGTACTAAGACAGCCTTCCATCCACACGTGTCCCAGATCCTTCTGGGGCCATGGCCATGCAGCTAGGCAAGCCCACAGTGTGTACCGTGACGAAGTCCCGCCTTGTGCTGGCCACGCCCACTGAGCAGTCACAGCAGGGTCACTCCCTGCCCCAAGAGCACAGCCAGATTCTGCAGAACGAGGATATGTGCTTGTCCCATGCCAATGGGGGAGTTGGGGGGTGCAGTGCTCTGCAGCTCACTCCAGCCTGGGCGGCCATGCTGTGCAAGGATGGAGGGGCCTGGGGACTGCTCTGTGCCCAGCCTGATGCTCCAGACATGGGGCAGAGGGCTCGGGCTCCTGGCCCGGACTGTGCCACTGCAGCTGTCCCAGGGGGTCTCCTGTGCTTGAAATCTTTGACGTGGCGTTGCCATTTGTGTGGAGGCTGATGTACTGACAAGCAGGAGTGCCGTCCACTGCTCATCCTCCTCCTGTGGCTGTGTCGTCCCCACCGCCCTGACTTCCCTCTTGTGTCAGTGCCTGCGATGGCCCTGTTTCCTGTCTGCTGCAGCGCCTGCCTGATTCCTGACCACGCTGTGGACAGGCTGCTTTCCTTGAGTGGAGAGAAGTGGGCTCGGCTTTGTCCACTTCTCCCTTTTCCTGGCGAGTGGCCCTCACCCACACCCTGCCAGCAGCCAGCTCTGTCTCCTGTGGCTGCTGCACCCGGCACCCTCCAGGAAGCTGCAGCTGCCTGTGGCCAGCCCCTCCTTTGTCTTGGAGGGAGTCGTCCATGCAGGGGCAGCTTGGCCAAGGGCAGAGGCCCTCCAACTGCCACCCACTGCTCATGGGGTGCTGCACATAGCGGGGTGTGTCATGGTTCTCCTGTGGTCCCGACCACTTCACAGCACAGACCCCAACACCCCCATGGCCCAGTGGAGCCACAGCCATACTGCTTCAGGAAGGTCACTGGTTCGACTCCTAGGGAGGGTGCTGCTCAGATTTCTGGGTCATTCCATAGGCTGCATGGCCACACTGGCAGCAGGGCCAGAAGGTATCCCAGCTAACCAGCTGGGCCAGATGAGCTGCTCCAGAAGCCCCCATCTGTCCTGAGGCTCTCCACGCACCCCCTTTGCCTTTGCAGGCACACATCAGGCCGCATCAGCCCACCAGGTGCCTCTGATGACTTTGAACTTGGAAAGGGAGCCTCTCCCCAGGGTGCACCTGCTTCTGATGCGGGCCAGGGGGAGGCGCTGCCCAGCTCCATGGCAGTGCCCAGGCCCGTGTGGGACGCTGCACCGTGCGACAGCACCTGGCCAGGCTCTGCCAGGGCACATGGCACGCAGAGGCCTAGTGATGGGATCCTTCCCCCCGGAGCCCCCCTATGGCAGGCCTGTCTGCATGAGGGCCCTGCTCCCGCCTCTGAGCATGCACAGCCAAAGGCAGGGCCCGCTCAGCCTGGGCAGATTTCAGGAGTGACACGCAGGCAGCCAGAGGCAGTTGTTACCACTCCTGACTAGGGTCTGGGAAGCTCCTGGGCCACAACTTGCCCGGCTGTGGCGAGGGCAGAGCCGGCAACCTTAGCAGCAAGCAGGGCCCTACGGTGGGGGTCTCCGAGCCACTCAGCGAGGCCTACCAGGGAACCTTTAAGGGCAGAGTGAGGGCTGTGTGATGCATTCTGAAGAATCACCCTTGGCCACAACGATGGACAACATGGTGGCCCCAGGGAAAAGAGACAGGTGCTGCCAGGTGAACGTCCTCGTGGGAGTGGTGTCTCTGCAGACTGCAGTCCCCCAGCCTTGGCCAGCAGTTCCTATCATCCGGTGCTGTGGGGGAACCCCCTTCCCAGACCCCAAGGGGAAAGTTCCCGGCTACTAGCTTCGTAGGTGAGGGCCTGACAAGAGACTCCATTTTGATATTGGCAGCTCTCACAGTGTGCAGAGCTGAAGACACTGAGCCCAGAGCCCACCTCTGTGTCCCACAAATGCCAGCGGTCACGGTCCTCACCCTACAGGGACGTCCAGCCTAACCCAGCTGTGTTGTCTTTGCCACAGACCTGCGGCCCCTGGATCTCCTGGCAGAGGCAGTCCCTTTGCACAGCGCCATGGGTGGAGTGAGGACGGTGCAGGTGCAGGGTGTGTGGGGCCTCCAGCTGCAGGCTGCCGCCCCCCGTGCTGTGAGCTTCCCTGCCTCGAGGATCTTCTTCAGGTGTGACCTCTTCCCTGAAGAATTCTCCATCGTCATGACCTTGAAATGCCCCCACCTCACACCCAAGGTCAGTGGCACTTTTTGTCTTTACGTCAGGATGCCCCGTTCCCTCTCCGAGGCTCCCCATGCCAGTGATGCAAGGGTGCGACTGGTTGGGCACGGCGAGGTCTCTGAGGGCACCATGGGGGTCAGGGGAGCCTCGCCTTGCTAGGTGGTCCTAGCTCCCCGTCACTGGGACATGCATGCGGGGGTCTCAGGGTCTGTGCTGGTACTGCCTGCAGTTACAGGTACAGAGCTTGGAGGCTCAGTCTTGATGCCCTCGGGCAGGGAACAGTGAAATCACCAATGCAGCCTGCGCTGGCTGGCCCCTCACCTGAGGTTTGCTGCCCCACGGATCCCAGACCCAGACTTGCCCCTGCCTCTCCCCCTCCCAACGGTCTGGAAGGTGGAGGCCCATGTCCCCCTCCCCACGGTTCCTGGGACGATGGGCGTCATACGTGCAGCAAACTCCTCTGGAGTGGCCAAGAGTGAGGTCACGCAGGTTCGGGGAGCACAGCTCTTCCCGGTGGCGGCAGCACCCTGAGGGTTTACTGGGGATGGCAGTCCTGGCACTTCCTGTTGACTTAGCAGTCCCATCCCCGGTCCTCTTGTCTCATCTCCTGGAAAACCCAGCTGCTCCATTTTCAGTGACAGAATTTTCCTGTCCTATAATTTCCATTTCACTCTTTTGTACGCACACACACACACACACACGCACACATACAAATTCCCACTTTCCGTTTAAATTCTTCATCTTACCAGTTATCTTACTGAACGCGACTATAAAATTTTTAAATATGATTGACTGATTGGTATGAGAAGCAGAGAGAGCTCCCATCCAGTGGTTCACACTCCAAATGCCCACAAATGCTGGGCATCAAGACGGAGCTGGGAACCCAACCCCGGGCTCCCGCAGGCACGGCAGGGACCTGCCCGCTTGAGCCATCACCTGCTGCCTCCCAGGGTGCCCGTCAGCAGGAAGCTGGGACAGGAGTGGAGACGAGACTCAAGCCCAGGCACTCATGTGGGATGCGGGTGTCTGACCTGCTGTGTGCACCACTGTGCCAGCGCCTGCCCGCCCGATGCCACCGTCTGGTTCCAGTGACGCCACTGCGTGCCCAGCTCTGTCCATCATGGGTCTGGAAGGCACCTGCCACCAGCCATCCTTTCTCCTTTCTGTCCTACACAGCAGTTTTCCACAGCGTTACTGAGACGTCATCCACATGCCCTCCAGTCCCGCCCTCTTCAGCTCTCGCCCCGGGGCCCTGCCTCAGCCTCTGCCCTGAGCGGCGCCTTCCTCCTCTCTGGCTCTGTGCACCTACCTCTGGCCACACGAGTGCATGGTACGATTTAGGATCTGGCAACTGGCTTCCTGCGCTCAGCACACCGCCTTCCCGGGCCAGGTCAGGGCACAGGTCAGGGCATCGCTCCTTCTCGCGCCTGAATAGTGCTCCTGTGGACATCTGGATTCTGGTTGTCCACTCATCCCTCGATGGACACTTGAGTGAGTTGCTTCCACCTTTGGGATGACGACTGTTGCCGAGACATAAGCATTCACGTACACCGTTCATGTCTCCTTTTCTCTTGGGTCTATACCTTGGGGTGGATTCCCAAGTCAGATGGTGATTCTGTGATGGTTTTTGGGGGAACTTCAGACTTCTTTCCCAGGTAGCACCGCCATTTTGTACGCTCTCCAGTGGTACAGGGCCGTAGATGTCTTCATGTCCCCGCCAGCACTAGCTGTATGGTTCTACCCTCACGTGGGCAAGCACTGGTGTCTCGTCATGGTTTGACTCGATGTCCCAGCTGAGTCATTACGCTGATATTCCGCTGTGGTGTGCCGGACGTTTCTGCATCTTCTTTGGAAATACCTGTCCAAATTCTCGGTGAAGGCTTTTCACTGGGTTAACTGCCATTTTATTGTTCAGTTATAAAAAGTTCTCTGTATATTCAATAAAACTCCCTTGTCAAATACAGGATGTGAAGTATTTGTTCCCATTCTGTGACTGTATTTTTACTTTCTTGATAAAATTCTTGGAAGCACACTTCTTAATTTTTATGAAGTTCAACTTCTTTTGTTGCTTATACTTTTGGCACGATATTTAAGAATCTGATGCCAAATCTGGGGTTATTACCCCTGTGTTTTCTCCTAAGAGTTTTACAGACTTAGCACTTAGACTTAAGTCTCTGATTAATCGGGGTTGATTTTGTGTATGACATGAAGTAGGGGTCCAGCTTGCTCTTTCTGCATATGGCTATCCACTGTCCTAGCAGCATTTACTAAATAGACAAAATCTCCCCCTCTGGAAGGACTTGGCACCTGTTCTGGAAACTAATGGGCCACATTTATGGGCTTCTTTCTGGAGTCTCAATTTCACCCTATTGGCTCGTCTATGTTTATGCCGGGACCACGGTGTCTTCAATACTCTAAGTTTGTAGTACGTTTTAAAATTTCCTACCATGAGTCATCCAACTTTGCTCTTACTTTTCAAAGTTTTTTGTTGTTGTTAACCTTTGCAATTAATTCTAAGCTAATTTGTCAATTTCTACAAATAAGTTAGCTTGGAGTCTGATAGGGAGAAAATAAATCAGTAGGTAGATTTGGGAATGTTGCCACAGCAACAAGGCTGTGTCTCTGCTTGTATTTCCTGGTGACGTCTTTGCACAGTTATGGGATGTAAGAACATAAGTAATCGTGGCCTCACAGAAGGGGCTTGGAAGTATCAGCTCTTCCTCAGGTTGTTGGAAGAGTTTGTGCAGCATTAGTTATTAACTCCTCTTTATCTATTTCTGCTCTAACTTTTATTATTTCCTTTTTTGTGCTTGCTTTATATTTAGCTGTTTTCCTTTCCCAATGTTTTAAAGCAGGAGGTTGAATTACTGATTGAGACCTTTCTTAAAATAGGTCTTTACAACTATAAACTCCTCTTTAAACAGTGCTTTTGCTGCCTCCCATACACTCCAGGACTTTGGTTTCCGTTTTTACTCACATTAATATATTTTTATTTGCTTTCTGATGTCTTCTTTGACCCTTTGATAATCTAGGACTGTGTTGAATTCCCACATACTTGTGAAGTTTCCAATCACTTCTAATTCCATTACGCTGTAGTCAGAGAACACACTCTGCATCACTTCTCTACTCTGCAACTGACTGAGGTTGGCGTCACGGCCCAGCACGGGTCCTACCCTAGACAAGGCCCTGTGCCGCCCAGCAGCAGGTGCGTTCTGCGGTCGTCAGGCGGCGTCACTGCGGACGTCTCCAGGCCCTCTGTACTTTACTGCTCTAGCCTTCTGTGTCCCTGTTGATCTCCCGAGGCAGTCCACCTGTTATCGGAATGCAGGCAGTGGATGTTGTCAATCATGCTGCTGAGTCGTCTATTTCTGTCTTCCTGTCGTGTTTTGCTTGTATTGTGCTGCTCTGTATTATTTGCATTTGTTTGTTGTATCTTCCTGATGGGTTGACCTGTTAGTCATTATAAAGTGACCCTATACTTCTAGTAAAGATTGTTGTTTTCAAGTCTATTTTGTCTGAACTCAGGTTAGCCACCCTACTTTTTGATAGCTACTGTTTGCATTGTACAGCTCTCTCCATCCTTTTACGTTCAGTCTGTTCCTTTGAATCTCAGCTATGTCCATTATATAGAGCATTTAGTTGAATCTTGTATTTTAAATCCAATAGAACAGTCTCTGCCTTTTGAGTGGATTATGTAACTCATTCATAGCTAAGGTTGTTCTTCATATACAGTTGATCCTCATTATTTTTGGATTTTCTACTTGCACTCTTTAAACTGATTGTAACCCCCAAACCCATACTTGCGAATTTTGTGGTCACTCATGGGCATCCACAGGGTGGTAAGAAAATCTCAGCCCCTTGGCCTGCGCTGTGGCTCACTAGGCTAATCCTCTGCCTTGTGGCACCAGCACACCAGGTTCCAGTCCCTGTCGGGGCGCCGGATTCTGTCCTGGTTGCCCTTCTTCCAGGCCAGCTCTCTGCTGTGGCCAGGAAGTGCAGTGGAGGATGGCCCAAGTCCTTGGGCCCTGCACTCCATGGGAGACCAGGAGAAGCACCTGGCTCCTGCCATCGGATCAGCGCGGTGCGCCAGCCGCAGCGGCCATTGGAGGGTGAATCTATGGCAAAGGAAGACCTTTCTCTCTGTCTCTCTCTCTCACTGTCCACTCTGCCTGTCAAAAAATAAAAATAAAAATAAAAAAAATTTTAAAAACATGTCAGCCCCCAACACCTGGCCCTCCAGAGGCTGAGCAAGGGGAGACTCCCCCTTCTTTCAGCCTCCTACAGGAAGTAGCTTCGGAGGCCCCTTTAACACCGCCTGCCCCAGTTTTTGTGTTTGCTGTTGTGATTTCCCTCGGTGTGATGATGGAGGCAGTGCAGTGTCCAAGGGCACAGGCTCTGTCGTGACGGTGCACACGTGTGTCAGACTCATCTATGCAGTTGTGAGTTACAGTGCTGTTGGGTACGAACTCAACGCTGATGCATAAGCTGTCAAATCAAACACGCACAAAGCAAGGCGATGCACTGCTGACGATGGGACCAGACGTTCTCAGGAACCTAACTCTATTTCTGCTTGAACAAAAGTGTAACACTTGCCGATTCAGCACCGGCCGTGGCTTCATGTGACGCAATTACCAGCAGAAACAAATGTCAGCTGCAGTCGCCTTTGTGTCTTCTATTTTACTTTTATTCCTGGTCCGTCCGACATCTTTTCCTGGGCTTCACTCCTCTCTTCCTTCTTCACTCTCTTTTGGCATCCAGTGAAGATCTTTCTAACGCAGCATTTTGATTCAGTCCGTGATGCCTTCACTCTGCTGCTCTAGCTTGTCCGTAGTGGTTGCCCACTGCTTACCATACACTTCTCTTATCAAAATGAACTTCCGACTTACGGTACCTTCATTCCAGGGAGGATAAAAAGAATGTGTCCTGTGTACGTCTATGCCTTTTCTGCTTCTGTGGCTTCATGGTTACACGTGCTGCATCTACACGTGGAAAAGGCCTGACTGTGTCTTCACGTGACTGACTCCTAGGGTTCTTGACGTTTAAAGACGCTCAGAGGAGACGAGAGTAGGTTCGTGTTTACTGCCTGGTCCCCTCGCTCCTGCAGACGTCAAGGTCGGCCCAGTGCAGCTGCCTCCCGTGCACGGTTTCGTGCTGTGGTCCTCAAAGCCATCAGGCTTCCGTGTGGCACAGGCCCAGCCCGGCGTCGTGCACCCTCTCACAGTTTCCCTCCGAGAGGAGGAAGCCGTGCGGGCGGAGTGCCCTCTACCGCCGTGTGATTCCTCACTGTGCTCCGGTTTTCCACTGAATTTGACTTCCGCCTGGGGCCGCTTCCCACCTGGACGCCAGGGCACGCACCTGGAGATGTCTGCTCACCCTCCAGTATTTCATTTACCTAGAATGTCTGCCCTTGCCTTCAATTCTGAATGATGGCTGTGTTGGATACAGGATTCCTGGCTCGCAGTTCTGGCCCTCTGAGTACCTGGAGTATTGATCACCCACCACCCCCAGCCACCAGTCTGATGTCGGTCACTGACCTTCCGGGGCTCCCATGGATGTGGCCTGTCGTTTCTTCTTGCTGCTTCTGGAACGTTCTCCTTGTTCTTGACTTCAGCTTTTTTACTTTCCTTCAGTTATCTGTGGGTTTTCTGTCCTACTTGGCACTGACTGAGCTTCTTGAATGTATACATGAAAATATATTTGGAAAGTTTGGTCCTTATTTCATGGAAATTGGACTTCTCCACTGGGGATCATGCATGGAGACTCCAGCAGGGCTCCCACTCCACCATCAGAGGTCAGTGGGGCCACAAACCCAGGAGCCCACTGTCCCCAAAAGCACTCAGTGCGGTCCTGGGCTGAAACTGGAGAGATCCTTGCAGCTGTGAACTTCACCAGGCTCCAGCCCTTGCCCTGTCAGAGGTCTTGGTGGAGCCCAGTGACAGAAAGGGCGGCGGCGGGGGGGGGGCTGCTATCCAGCCTACAGGTTCCAAGCACTGGTCCGTAGTTCTCTACATAGAGACGTGACTGTTCAAGGTTCCATGTGCAGCCCACTCTGCTGTCTACGTTTACCATGACAATGTCCAGAAGATGAGTGGGGCCAGCATCTCTGGTTGAGTTTCTGGCCAAGGAAGATCATGTCCACGTGGGTGCAGAGCTTGCTAGGATCCACACTCGGGGCCTGTAGGAGCCATGAAGATTGGGTATGGTGCAAGTATATGCGCTTGATCAAAAGGAAGGGTCTCAAAAGTTCGGCTTGCGATCAGTCAAAGGCTTTCTCCCTCGTGGTCATCGCTCCTGTGCTGAGCCCGCCTGCATCTGCTCCTGCCAATCCCCCCACTCACAACCAGCAATGAGGACGAGATCAGCTTCGCTGCTGGTTTTCTCCAGGATAAGGCGGGCAGGGACAGCCCAGCACAGCTCCAGAGAGCAACAAGACAGCAGCATCCACGCAGCGTGAACAAGGAACAAGAAAACAATGAAGCGCCCAAAAGCCAGGAAGCTGGAGGCTCCGCCCAGCGGCTGCTGGGAAAACAAACACCACAGAGGGGTATAAAAGCCCCAACAGCCCTGAGCACCTCACACCCTCACTCACTCACTCACCCACTCACTCACTCACCCCTGCCCAGCTCACCGCCCGCCACGGCCGCCTCCACCATGTCCGTTTGCTCCAGCAACCTGAGCTACGGCAGCAACGTCTGCATGCCCGGCTCCTGTGACCCCTGCCCCGACTCCTGGCAGGTGGACGACTGCCCAGAGAGCTGCTGCGAGCCCCCCTGCTGCGCCCCCAGCTGCTGCGCCCCAGCCCCCTCCGTGACCCTCGTCTGCACCCCAGGGAGCTGCCAGTCAGCGTGCACCAGCTCCTGCACGCCCCTGTGCTGCCAGCAGTCTAGCTGCCAGCCCTCGTGCTGCTCCTCCAACCCCTGTCAGCAGCCCAGCTGTGTGACCCTCTGCTGCAAGCCTGTGAGCTGTGTGCCTGTCTCCTGTGTGCCCGTCTGCTCTGGGCCCTCCTCTTCATGCTGCCAGCAGTCTAGCTGCCAGCCCTCGTGCAGCTCCTCCAACCCCTGCCAGCAGCCCAGCTGTGTGACCCTCTGCTGCAAGCCCGTGAGCTGTGTGCCCGTCTCCTGTGTGCCCGTCTGCTCTGGGAGCTCCTCCCCCTGCTGCCAGCAGTCTAGCTGCCAGTCCTCGTGCTGCTCCTCCCCCTGCCAGCAGCCCAGCTATGTGACCCTCTGCTGCAAGCCCGTGAGCTGTGTGCCCGTCTGCTCTGGGGACTCCTCCCCCTGCTGCCAGCCGTCCTGCAGCCCCTCCCCCTGCCAGCAGCCCAGCCGTGTGACCCTCTGCTGCAAGCCCCTGAGCTGTGTGCCCGTCTGCCCACGCCCCTCGTGCTGCCAGCCCAGCCCCTGCCCCTCGTCCTGCTGCAGACCCTCCTCCTGCGTGTCCCTGCTCTGCCGCCCCGTGTGCAGGCCCGCCTGCTGCGTGCCCGCCCCCTCCTGCCAGCCCAGCTGCTGCCGCCCGGCCTCCTGTGTGTCCCTGCTCTGCCGCCCCGCCTGCTCCCGCCCCGCCTGCTGCGGCCTCTCCTCCGGACAGTCCTGCTGCTGAGCAGCATGTCCTACCCTCCAATGTTGTCTCGGGCAGACTCTCATATTCACCTGAAATCCTTGGCACCCTAAGCTGTATCTGGGATGTCGTTGTCTCATAAGCTCCCTGCCCCGCCCCATGCCCTGCATCCTCGTGGGCAGTCTGGTGCTGTGCTGGTTCTGAGTGCAGCTGATGCGTGCGTCTGCCAACCCCTCATTGACACACCAGCTAGATGTGTGCTGCCCCATGGGAGTGACCTGTCTGACCTGCTCGTTAACAAATAAAGCTGCCTGTGCTCCTCCAAGGTCTCCCTTGAGTGTCTGGGCGAGCCATGGGGCAGAGCAGGGCCTTGGTAACCGGTGGGCTGGTTTGGGACCTGGCCTGGAACTATGTCCGGAGTGACTGTGCTGGGGGCATGGAGGCCCCACAGGCAAGGTGGCTCCAGGCTGTGCGTGCTTGCCCTTCCCTCTGCAGACATGTGGCAGCCTCGGTCAGTCCGTCACACCAGCAGCGTCCCTCAGAGCACATACACTCTGGCTCCACCTGCTCAGTGCTGCCGGTCAGGGCTGGGCCCCAGGGAGGAGAGATGGTGGCCTGTCTTCCACAACTTCTGGTGGGATTCAATGGTCGGTCCCTCACAGCTGCAGACAGCAGGCCCCTGGAAGCAGCAGCGGCCTGGTCGCCAACAGTCAGGCCTGTGAGCACCAGAGGGTGACGGCTGCCAGTGCCTCATTCGTGGCCCGCACACCTTGCGGGCTATGGGAGTTGCCCCGCGGCCACTGCCTTTCCTGTTTGTGCTTCCACGCCCTTGGTCTCCTTCCTATTCCTACTCCAGGAGTTTCCCTAGACCCCAGCCCCAGAGGCAGGAGCTCCTGCCTGGTTCTTGGCCTGAAGCTCCCCATCCTGGGGCACTGAAGCCCCTCGCTGACATGCAGCTGCCGCTGTGCGCCAGCTCTGACCCCTGGGCTCTGAGTCCCTCATCCCCCCGCAGCGCTGCCCTGAGCCCTGAGCCACTTGTTAGCCGGGTTGCACAGCCCGTGTGCTCCTGGCTCCTCTGGGCAGACCACACAGAGCTCGGAAGCCACTCTCGGAGTACGCAGGCCCCAGGAGGACAGGGTCCTTCTTGTGTCCTTTTGCTTTCCAAGTCCCAAACCCGTGGGGGTGAGGGATGCGAGGGGCACAGGCACAGCAGGGAGCAGTGGGCCCCCAATGTCCAGGGTCCGGTGTGCAGCCAGGAGTGGGCCTGCCCTGCTCTGGACAATGTCACCACCGTACACCCTGCTGGTGCAGTCAGCAGGCTCAGTGCCTGGGAGCTTGCAGCCGCAAGGGGGCTCCTCGAGCTGGGGGCCCTGGCCCCCTCCAGGTGCGCCCCACTGCGCGGCCAGCCTGGCTCTGTCAGGGGGCTGCACCTCCCTGAGGTAGAAACAACGCAGTGGTGAGCTGGGCCAGCCCTGTGCTGAGCTCTGCAGGCGTGGGCAGATGGCAGCCCAGGCACAGGACGCCCCGGTCCTGACGGCCAGAGAGGACAAGTGCAGGCCCCACACATGCCCACGCAAGGCTCACAGCGCTCCTGCCTTCCCTCATTTTGCCACGTTTGTCACGCTGGGCACTTTCTTTCTGGTTTTAACTTTTGATATTTTTCATCTAAGAAGAAATACTTGATAAACTTCACAACTGATGATTTCACTCCTCATCCTGCCATTTGGATGCATTTCCTCGCTCTTGATGTTGCTTCTGTGTCTGTTTGTCGCCTTTTCGTCTAAAATACAGGGACAGGCGTGGTGCTCTGGTGAAGCTGCCCGGGGATGCCTGCATCCCGTCTTGGAGAGCCTGGGTCGGAGTCCTGGCTCCACTTCTGCTAATGCACACCCTGAGAGACAGCGATGACAGCCCCAGCACGCAGGCCCTCGCACCCACATGGAAGACTGGCCAGAGCTCCCAGCTCCTGGCTTCAGCCTGGCCCACCCCAGTGTTGCAGGCATTTGGGGAGTGGACCAGTGGATGGAAGACCTCTCTCCCTCTTTCTCTGTATGCTCTGCCTTTCAAATAATAAAAATTAGTTAATTGATTTTTTTGACAGGCAGAGTGGACAGTGAGAGAGAGAGAGATAAAGGTCTTCCTTTTCCGTTGGTTCACACCCCACCCCCCCACTGGCCACCGCAGCTGGCACACTGCACTGACCGGAAGCCAGGAGCCAGGTGCTTCTCCTGGTCTCCGATGGGGTGCAGGGCCCAAGCACTTGGGCCATCCTCCACTCCACTCCCTGGCCACAGCAGAGAGCTGGACAGGAAGAGGAGCAACTGTCGCTCCCCGTCTTCATGGGGGAACGACACTAAGCCCTGCCTAGGCTTCACATCCGAGTCACGGCACCATTATGTCGCTCCCCCTCTTCGTGGAGGAACGACACAGGACCCTGCGCTGTTCTTTCTGTCTGCTCGGCCCTCCCCGGGTTTGCTGCTGGTTCTTCCCGGGTTGGCTACTATCCCTTCCACCTCCGTGGAAGGGCAGTTCCCCCTGGCCACATTCCCCACTTCCGCAGGGGAGCGGCACACCGCCGGCCGGCTTTCTCGGGGGCTGCACGGGTTCCCTTAGATGTTCCCCATAGATGTTCCCGGTGCATGCCGTTTCTCTCCTCCTTTATAGTCCTCCTCCGCCAATCCTAACTCGGCTGCCCACACGCCAAGTACGCTGCTCTCCTCCAATCAGGAGCAAGTCCTACAGTTTATTAGTTGAACTGGAGGCAGCTGTGCGGAAGCTGCTCACTTCTCTCCCAGCGCCATATTGTGGGAGAGCAGATGCACAGAATAAGCCCCAATTCGAGCAACTTAGTCTAGTCCGGATTGCTCCCCACAAGCAACCAGGACAGAATCTGGCGCCCTGACCGGGACCAGAACCTGGTGTGCTGGCACCACAGGCGGAGGATTAGCCTATTGAGCCACGGCGCCGGCCAGTTAAGTGATTTAGAAAGACCTTTGAGGGTCTGGTTTCTTCCTTCATCGTTCTCCAGAATTTTAGAAGACGTGCAGTGCTGTGCTTCTGGCTGTACTAAGGAGTTTTCAGTTTTCCCCGATGTGGATTTTTAATTACTAAAGTCAGGAATGAGCAGCATGGCCGGGGAGGCACTGGGTAGGGCAGGAGCTCCTGTCCCTCAGTGTCTTATGCCTGGGATCTCGGGGGAGCGGACCCCAGGAGGAGTGGAGCCCCAGTTCACCGCAGCCAACAAATGGCAACAGGTGCAGTGAACTCAGCTTTATTTCTCCCAGCCTATCCAAAGTGCCGCATTCCGGCGTGTGCCTAAGCTGCATCTCTAGGGCTTGGCAGCTGTGTGTGCCCAGTGGCTCCCGTTCCATGGCACAGAACGAGGCAGCAGAGGCTCCTGGCGATCACTGAACCCGGCTGCTTCACAGGACGCATGCAGTGCAGTCCCTCTGTGATTCACACTTGCACCCATCCTGGCAGGAGTTCCAGTTGCACTACCGTTCACCAGCCGCCCGGTCATGAGCCCGTGGCTGACCTCAGACCCCGCCCCCCTAAACTATGATGACCACGTGGCAGCCGCCAGAGCCCCAGGCCATGTGAGTGTGCAAGGGCTGACTTCTTCCTGTTGTCCTGAATGTTTCTTCCTCCCTCTTGCCTCCGACCGCTCACGTGAAGTCTCAGCTGCACACGTGCTGTTTCCCCCCTCCCCCATCCCTGGAGGCCCATCCCTCACCTGGTGCTTTGGAAGAACTCCTTGTGTTTCTACTGAAATACTGAGCCCATTCCCTGTGGCCATCACTTTGCTCTTTCCTGCGCTGTGTGAATTCCTAATCCCGCTGTTTGGAGCTGAACTCCCTCAGCATTTGCTGTCTTCAGTTTCCACCACTTCAGAATGGGGGACTCCTGTGTGTGGCTCCTGTGTGCTGATCCCATGTACAGATTCCATGTACAGATCCCACGTGTAGATCATTTGTGTAAATATCATATGAAGTCCTGAACACTGATGCTTTGTGCAGATTCTGTGTGTAGATCCTGTACAAATTCTGCACAAAAGATCCCATACGCAGATCCCATGCATGGATTCTATGTGCATTCCATGTGTGTAGATCCCGTGTGCTGACCCCATACAGAGCCTGCATGCAGATCCTATGCACAGCCCAGCTGCCTTCCAATCCACTTTTTCCTGTGTGACCGTGCGCAGGTTGTTTTCCTTCTCCGTGCCGAGCTTCCCCATCTGTCCATCGGACTTCAACAGGAAGCTGATGTGGAAGTTGAGCTGAGAGGCAGTGAACACTGCAGGGCCTGGAGCCCATGCTCAGTGGGTGTCCTCTGAGGTCACCAACACCAACCGCATGACAAAGGTTATCGCCCAAGTTACCGCAGGTGTCACTAGGGTATGTTGAGGTTTTCTGTCCCAGGGTCTTCAGGCCTGCACCGTGCCGTGTTCCATCAGGGAAATCTCTGGGCAGGAGATTCTCTGGCAGCGGACTTGCTGACCATCACTGTGTGTGGCCTGATAGGCCTGTTGCCACAGTCAGGGCCATGGTGTATGCAACTGTGGCAGAAAACCCATGTGAGTTGTGATGAAATCTGGGCCCAGGATGAATGGTCTGCACAGGGCTGGGCTGGGCTGCCCCGTTGGAGGCTGCGTCCGGGAGACATCATGTACCTGACTTTGTGTAGGCGCCGCACTCATTTGTGTTCTGTGGCCAAGTCTGTATTGCTCCTGTCACCCACTGACATTCCTGCATGGCATTTTCCAGTTTGGGCCACAGCACCCACAGGTCCTTTCCCACTGTGCTTTCAGCTTCCCACAGCAAGTGTGCAGGGTGGGGGCTGTCCTTAGCCCCCGACCCAGGACCACAGCCTGTGATGGCCACACCAACGGGGACCGTGGCCTGTGACAACTACGCCAACAGATGCCTCAGATCTTTAAGTGTGCACTCATGTCACCTGCAAACACCAGAAATTCACATCTTTTTATTTCTCAGCTTGTCACACTGACTTGCCCTAAAAGACAGCAGTGGAAGGTTCTGGTGAGGGGGCCTGCTCACCTCCCTCCTGACATCAGCAGGAAAGCATCCCATGGCCACCTCAGCTATGAGATCGCTGGGCATCCATGAAGTGTGTGGTCTCCCCCTGTCGGGTGGGGGAGCCTCAGCCCAGCAAGATGCTGGCAGCTTCTGGACGCCAGGAGGGGTCTCCACAGAGTTTGTGGGAAATGGAATTGAAAGACGAAAACTGAAAATGTAAACCTGATTTCTCAAGGTCAGCTGCACCAAGGTCAAGCTGTTTTTGTAAGCAATGTTTAGTCCATCACCAAAGAGCTGAGAGTCCTGGGAATGGAACAAGGTCAGGCACTTTCCATTAACTGGAGAAAAGTGGGGGTCCTTTAAGGATTTTCTAAGAAGAGGAAGCAGAAAGAGGTCAGCGGAGCAAAACCAGGACCGTCAGGTGGGTGCCCGATAACTCCCCACAGAGACCCCCCCAGAAGAGCCCTGGTCTGAGAGCAGTGGGTGGGGCAGCCGTGGGGGAGGGGCGCTCTTGGAGAAGCTTTCTGGGGGCTTCCTGCTGAAGCCTTGGCTGACTTCCTCAGAGCAGTCGTCTCGGAAGCAGATGTTGTTCTTTGACCCTTCAAAGTCAACAGGGAAAATGCGTGAGCATCACAAACCGCTGTTGCCATGACCTTGACCCCTGACCTTTCTGCCTGCGCTCAGAGTGCACCACTCCCACCTCCTGTAGCCACTGCTCTGGGTGTGCTTTGTCTTCAGGACCACACCGGGAAAGCCAGGCTTCATCTCCTGTTACAGTTCTTGCAAGGAAAGCTTCAGAACCACCTTGGTTCAGTCTCCACGGAAGCTCTGCTCCTCCGCAGCTGAAGGGGGACAAGCTTAGCCACTGAGCAGAAAGTGTGCTGTGCTTCGATTCAGGCCGGACTCCGTCAGCTGTGCATCTGTGGTGTCTGCGGTGGTGGCAGCTGCTTCTGGTGTCAGGCATCTGCCCTCCGTAGTCGGGGCAAGGGCAGGACGGATTTTCCCTCATACACTGCATGGATGATCTGTTCTGCAGGCTTCGACATCATCTATTCTTCTTAGAATAGATGCACTTGTGAACTTTTTTCTCTGTGTCACTGTCCCCATAACTGTATTAAAACAACATTTCATCACTTGCCCACCAAAACTTCATGATAAATGTGATGCTCTTCATTTTTTTAAATAAAAAAATTTCATTTTCATTTACTCGAAAGGCAGAGACACAGACAGACAGACATAGATGTTGCGTCCACCGGTTCAGTCCCCAAATGCCTACAACAGTAGGGCTGGACCAGGCCAAAGCCAGAGCACTGGAACTCAGCCCACGCTTCCCATGAGGGTGGTAGGGTCTCATCACCGCTGGCCCCCACGGTCAGCATGAGCAGAAAGCAGAAATTGGAAGCAGTGCCGGGACTCGAGCCAGGCACTGTGACGTGGCACACTGTCCCAGACGCCAACTGAACTCCCGTGCCGATGGCCATCGCTGCTGTTGGCTCCTGCTTCATGGTGAGCAGTACTGCTGCTCGGATAGAGGCCTTCTCACCACCGCTTTCTAGCTCACGTCTCACGCTAGACCCTGTTGAGACCAGATACAACACGTCTGTACGACTCACTGCGGTGCAGACATTCTGGGATCACTCACAGCTTTTTCACCATACCCTCGTCCGGCAAACCTCGCGGAGCCCTCCTTGTCTGGGTTCCCAGCAGGGATACCAGCCAGTGCACCGCATCCACGCAGGCAAGTGGCGGTGCCCGTGTCCCTCCCAGCCAGGGGCAGGGCCTGCTCTGTTCTGACCTCCCTGGGCAAAGGCCAGCTGGACCAGTGAGGAGCGACCCGACCCCTGGCTTCCCCTTCCCTACCCACAGGCCATGACCAGGACGTGCCTCTGCCAGGAAAACTGGGCCTGGCCTCCAGAAAAGGAGGTTCAGAGGCTGAGGGCCACACTCATTACAATCCCCAACCCTGGTCAGCCTAACGCAGCAGGCCCTGCTGTAAGCTCCTGACTCCTCCTCTGTGGAGGGGCGGGTCCTGGGGTCACTGCCATCCCTGACTTCGGATCAGGCAGGATCCCAGAGCCCATGTAGCAAGCACCACTGCCATTTCCCCAGAAACTGACCCCCTTTCCCAGAGAGCTGCTGCGCCAGGGCCGGCGCCTGACTTGAGAGCCCACCGGTCACAGCAGTGGATCCCACAGGTACAGCCCACGGGGTCAGCCTAGGGAGGCTCCACCTGCTCGGTGACCCTGCTGGGCCAGACTTGGACCTGGCAGGCGGCCCTGCCCAGCACGGAAGAATGTTTACGAGCTGAGAACTAATGAGGTCTTCCAGGATCAGAGCACAAACAGGAAGGGGAAGGGCGCTGCGGGGCTGCGGTGGGGCTGCGGTGGGGCTGCGGCTGGGCAGCGATCCTGGGGTATAAGAGCCCCGAGCACTGAGCCCTGAACACTCCTCCACCCTCGCTCACTCACACTCACCCCTGCCCAGCTCACCGCCCGCCACGGCCGCCTCCACCATGTCCGTCTGCTCCAGCAACCTGAGCTACGGCAGCAACGTCTGCATGCCCGGCTCCTGTGACCCCTGCCCCGACTCCTGGCAGGTGGACGACTGCCCAGAGAGCTGCTGCGAGCCCCCCTGCTGTGCCCCCAGCTGCTGCGCCCCAGCCCCCTCCGTGACCCTCGTCTGCACCCCAGGGAGCTGCCAGTCAGCGTGCACCAGCTCCTGCACGCCCCTGTGCTGCCAGCAGTCTAGCTGCCAGCCCTCGTGCTGCTCCTCCAACCCCTGCCAGCAGCCCAGCTGTGTGACCCTCTGCTGCAAGCCCGTGAGCTGTGTGCCCGTCTCCTGTGTGCCCGTCTGCTCTGGGGACTCCTCCTCCTGCTGCCAGCAGTCTAGCTGCCAGCCCTCGTGCAGCTCCTCCAACCCCTGCCAGCAGCCCAGCTGTGTGACCCTCTGCTGCAAGCCCGTGAGCTATGTGCCCATCTCCTGTGTGCCTGTTTGCTCTGGGACCTCCTCCTCATGCTGCCAGCAGTCTAGCTGCCAGCCATCCTGCTGCTCCTCCCCCTGCCAGCAGCCCAGCTATGTGACCCTCTGCTGCAAGCCCGTGAGCTGTGTGCCCGTCTGCTCTGGGGACTCCTCCCCCTGCTGCCAGCCGTCCTGCAGCCCCGCCCCCTGCCAGCAGCCCAGCCGTGTGACCCTCTGCTGCAAGCCCCTGAGCTGTGTGCCCGTCTGCCCACGCCCCTCGTGCTGCCAGCCCAGCCCCTGCCCCTCGTCCTGCTGCAGACCCTCCTCCTGCGTGTCCCTGCTCTGCCGCCCCGTGTGCAGGCCCGCCTGCTGCGTGCCCGCCCCCTCCTGCCAGCCCAGCTGCTGCCGCCCGGCCTCCTGCGTGTCCCTGCTCTGCCGCCCCGCCTGCTCCCGCCCCACCTGCTGCGGCCTCTCCTCCGGACAGTCCTGCTGCTGACCGGCACGTCCCAGCCAGACTTAGGTTCCCGCTCCCACCAGCCTCCTGCCCACCCTGCCTACCACAAGCAATGAGCACCCTGTGCTCCGCTCCCCACGGGGCCCACGGGGCCCTGGCTGCTCCCTTCACGCTCCCTGGCTGCGTGAGCCGTCCCTGCGCTGGTCAGGGCTGGCCCTGGTCTGGCCCCAGCAGTGTCACTCTCAGTCTTTGAGCACCAATAAACCCACACTGCCCACACTGACCTGGAGTCCTCTGTGGCACACCTGGGCGGGAGGGGCTCAGGCCCTGGCCGCTGCTTCTCGGACCAGCGGTGGGGCCTGGGGTTCTTACACTTGACCTGGCAGCCCCTGACCACCTCATTCTGTTGCCCAGGTGTCTGGCTGCCCTTCCAGGTCCTGTGGGCTCCAGGAGCCTCACTCCCTGGTCAGGGCCTGTGGGCACCACCTGGGCCCATCTGGCAGGTGGAGGTTGCCCCTCCCATGGCACAGGTGCTGGACTTCCAGGGTGCACAGCCCAGCTGAGCTTGGAGGTGGGGGATGGGAGATTCTGGCACCAGCTGGCCTTGGGTCCTCAGTGGCACCTCGGGATGGCATGGGTGTCCCCGACCTGCACACACACAATTATCCTGGAATTAAGTTCCAGTTTCCTGGAAGGAAAAAATTCATGTTGCAGTTTAAAGTGCAGACATGAGCAGGCAGAAGAGAGGGTAAATATGAAGATCAATTGAAATATTCTACTCCAAGGAGCAGGTAAAATAAAAGAATTAAGAAAAACAGACAAATCTTAAGGCAGCTGTGAGATACCATTGAGACCAGACACCTACATCATCACAGGGGTTCCAGAAGGAGAGAAGAGGAAAGGGGGGGAGTGATTAATGCCCCCAGATCTGGAAATTTAAGGAAATGCATGAATATACATGTTTAATAAACTCTATGAACTCCAAATAGAGCAAATGCAAAGAGATTCGCCTGAGAGACATTTTAAGCAGCGTCAAGATTCAACAAGTAGAAAATCTTGAAAGCAGCAAGAGAGAGGATTAACAGCCAATTTCTCACTGTAAGCAATGGGGCCAGAAGGCAATGGAATGGTGTATTTCAACCACTGGGGTCGGGGACAGAGGCAGGAACCATCAACCAACCAGGAGTAAGTTTGTTTGGTCAAACTGTCCTTCAAAAATGAGGGAGAGAGCAACACATGTTCAGATACATCAAGCAGTGCTCATCAGTCACTAGTAAAACTAACTCAGGACCACCTAGAAGAGCAGTAGTCAGTAGCTTAAAGTTGCATGAAGAAACGAGGAACAAAAAAGCCATCAGCCCTGGGAATGAGTTTTTCCTTTACGTCTTGTTTATCCTACTGTTGGTGTCCAAATACTCATAGCATTCTTTTGTAATAATTTTTAAGATCAGTAGTGATGGTCTATATGATTTTAATAATTTGAATTATTTAATAATTTGAGCTAAAAGTTTGTCTTTTAGAACTAACTTTAGAGTTTGTTGATTCTGTTGTTTTCCTACTCTTAATTTCATTTATTTGTGCTTCAGTCTATTGCTCCCTCCGGCTGGTTCTGTATTTATTTGCTCTTCTTTTTCTGGTCACACAAGGTATTAATACTTAAGGTATTCTGAGGTACACATACTTAAGATATAGTTTTGCCAGAAGTAGTCGTCTCCTGGTTGATTGGTCATTCCTCCCTCTGTCCCTGACCCGGGCAGTTTAAACGTATCTGTCCAGTGCCTTCTGGCCTCCACAGTCCACAGTGAGACTGGATGCCAATCTTCCCTCCTGCTGCTTTCACAGCCTCCTCTGTTTTTAAATCGTCACTCTTTGATTGTAATGTCTCTGCAGGCAAATCTCTGAGAGCCCTCTTCTTTCTAGACATTTGCAGCTACATTAAGTTCCCTCTGAGCACCACAAGTTCTGGTTTCTCCTTCCTTTGGACTGGTTTTTTACCTCTGTTTGTGAATTCTACTTTTCCTTCTGTTATTGACTCCCAGTTTCTTTCCATTGTGCTGAAAGAAGATACCATGTATGACTTCAATCATTTTAAATTATTGAGAGTAATTTTATGTCCTAACGCATGTTCTTATCTGGAACACGTCCCATGAACACCTGAGAAGAATGTGTATTCTGTTGCTGTGTGGTTGAACATTTTCTAGATGTATTAGGTGTGCCTGGCTTGTAGTGTTCTTAAGTCCTCTATTTCTTTACTGAATATCAATCCAGCAAAATTGTTTCATTTTTTATTAGACAGTGGCTTATTAAAGTCTCCAACTATTATAGAACTAGAATTGTCTCTTTCTTCAATTCTGTTCATTTTTGCTTCATATATTTGGGGTGGGTCTGTTGGTTGTGTTCATGTTTACAACTGCTATATCTTCTTCATGGGTTGACTTTAGCCAGTATATGATGATGTCCTGTGGTCTCAGCTCCTGCCATTCAGTCTGCACACACTAACAGTGTTCCTTTTCTCCCACCATCCCCAGCCATTCTCCCCAGCCAGGCCTCCTGTCCCCAGACCTCCCGGGCAGCACAGCATTCCTCAGTGGCTCTGACTGGAAGCAGCCAGTTCAGGCCCTCTATGCCTGAGATCTGGAAAACCATGCCGGCCTACAAAATGAGCTCAGGTGTTTAAGGCTCGTGTTTCTCCTCTCCTGATCATCTGAGAGAATTCACTGGTAAAGTGCTTGCACGTTGAGCTCTCTGGTAGGAAGGCTGTTAATCCTAGATTCTTCTAGATTTCTCTAACAGATATGGGATATGTTTTCCTCCACTTTACGTGAGTCTTTGTGTCTTGACAAACACATATATAGGTGCATCACTACCACGATCAACCTACAGCCTCTTCCTATCACCCACAACGTTCCCTACTGCTCCTTTGTAATCTGCCCACATCCTTACCCCAACCTCTGACAAACACCAATCTTTTTTAATCCTTCAATCATTACCTTTTGCAGAAGAGCTACAGATAGCAAAGAAATACTTGAAAATATGTTCTGTGTGTGAGTCATCAAGGAAATGCAAAGCTAAATACCAGTGAATGACCTCCACACCTAATTGTTTGGAAGCCACAGAAGTCTGGTGTGAAGAACAACAAAGAGAATGGGACTTGCTGCCATGTTTGAACGTAACCCTACATCCTCACTTTGTTTTCTGTTTATGCTTGGTCCATTTCCTCTTATTTCCTTGACTTAGTGTTTTTGGGTAATTTTGAGGTCTTCTTTCCCACATTTACCCTCAATGTATGAGTGTCTAAGGCTGCCCCTTACCAAGAAAGGGTGACTTAAAAGACAGAGACTTATTCTCAGACAGTCCTACAAGACACAAGTCTGAGGTAAAGACGTCATAAGGGCCATGCTTTCTCTGAGCTGTGGGGGAGAGAATTTCGCAACCCTTCCAGCCTCTCGTAGCTTGGCATCCTGTGGTTTGTATCTGCCCCACTCCAGTCCCTGCCTCCATCCTCACATGGGGTTTGTCCCTGTGGGTGTCTGAATTCCTTCTGTCTCTTAGAAGCACTGACCATTCAATTTGGGGCCCATCTGAATCCTGATGACCCCATCTTCATTAGTCTCATCAGCAGTGATCCTCTTTCCAAAAAAATCACACACTGGCAGTCTGGGAAGATGCGAACCTGGCAGAACCCTACTCAGTCTGTTAACTACTTTCCACTTAGCTGTGGAGATTACAACACAAACGCTGACTTTCAAAAAATCTAATGTAAGTGAGACCTGGTGCCAGTTCCCAGACAATGTAGTGTGTCTGGATCCTTCTGATTCCAAGAGCCCCCTCCAGAATTTCATGATCATATTGCTATGATTTTTATTTCTATAAATATTTTTAAACTTGCAAGGCATCTGGTAGTCAATATTCATTTGGATTTTCTCGTACGTACCTTTCTTCTGTTACACTTAATTTCTCGATCCATTTCCCTGCTTCTGGCTCTCATCATCCTGTTTCTGATGGCTACATGTAGTGTTCACTTTAGTGCAGATCCTGCTGCAGACACATTCTCCCAGCATCTGCCTGCCTGAGAAGAACGGTTCCATCATCGTTTTTGAGGGTCTTCTGTGCAGGGACAGAGCTCAGAGGTTGTTCTTTCAGGTGAGAACAACGCCGTTCCGCTGTCTTCTGGCCGCCACTGTTTCCACTGAGACGTAATCTGTCAGCATTACGCTGCTGCTTTCAAGATAACGTGTCTTCCTCCACCGCAGCTGTTTTACAATTTTTCTCTGCCTCTGAATTTCACCTCCAGTGGGTCCAGGTGTGGTTTTCCTCCTATGTATTTTTGTAAATGCTCTTAAATGCTTTTCTATCTATGAGTTCCTGTCTCTCATCACTGTAAAGCTCTTGTCCACTAACTCCAGCCACTCCTCATCCTTTCAGAATCCAAGTCAGTTCTTTTCACCACATCTCTTGTTTATATCTCCATTTTCTCTATTGCTATCCTTCCCCCACACTGCTCAGTCTTGGTATTTCCTTATCTCCCTTTCATCACTAATCTCTTTGGTTTTGTCAAATATGCTGTCAAATTAATTTATTAAGCTTTCTATTTCAGTTACTGTGTTCTTCATTTATAGAACTTATGTTGCATTCTTTTGTTTTTTGTTTCCCAGAATCCAGAATCCAATAAAAATTCTCCACCTTGTTCCAGATTTTCTTGAAAAGAATTAACACCATTACTTTAAATGCATGCTTGACAATTCTGGTACCCACTTCTGCAGGATTGTTGCTACTGGGCTGTTTCCTCTCTTGGTCCTTTGGTCACTTGCTCTTGTCTTCCAGTACACTTTGTAACTTTAACTGAATTCTACACTTAATGTATGAAACGTTAAAAAGACCACTTGAGTGTCTGTTGCTGTTGTTTGGCTCTGAGGGATGAGCCTTTGTTTCTGACAGGCTCTGGGAAGGCATTTGAGCTGACTCAAGCATGGGTCCAGCCGTATTTCAGGTTCTCCCTGCTCCCAGGGAGTCCCCCTTCCTAGTAGTCCGGTCTGCAACTGAAAGCCTGGGTTGTCTATGGGAATCCATCCACCCCAGCAGGTCCTGAACTGTTCTCTGTCTTCCATTGCCTCAAGACCACTGACAGCTCTGCTCAGCTTCTCAATCTCTGTCTCTGACCTAAGTGGGCAAAAAACTCAAGGAGAAAACCAACAATAAATAGACTTCTGTGCACTTGGAGACCTGGCTACTCAAGTCTCAGCTGTCTTGGTACCTCCCGGTGCCTTCAAGTAGAGACTGAATTTGCCAAGCCAGCTCCCCTGGCATTTCTTCACCAGATGACTAGTCTCATACACACCAGTCCCAGAGGAGCTGGACAGAGCATTTGTATAGCACGAGGGAGCTGGCACTGTGTGATCAGATTCAGGAAGCAGAATCATCATTCAGTCATTTCCTGAAATAAGTATTCTTTCAATCCATTCTTATTAGGGTTCTACCAAGAGCCAGGCCCTAAGTTAGGCCTTCAGAGATCGAACCTCAAAGCGGACAGACAAGTTCGCTGCCTGCAGAAGTGCACTTTGTGGCAGTGAAGGGGAAGGGGCTGAGGACAACGAAGACTAGCAGCAGGCGCGACTGGAGACGGAGGTGCAGCCCTGTCTCGGGGTGTGAGGGGACCCTGGAGAAACACCTCAAAGCCAGAGTCTGCACCACTGGGACCCGTAGCCCAGCACAGACAACAGCAAGCTTCTCACCAATTCGAACCATCCTGCCTCCTCTGCAGTGGGCCTCAGGGATGGCCACGCTGTGCTCACTGGCCCCTGGGACAGCCTTCTCTGAGGTCCACAGCATGTCTTAAGTGAGGGTCTGCTTCAGGGGGGGACACCCCATGGAGTGGAGGGGGATAGGTTTCTGCACAACACAGCACTTTGTACAAGGCTGAGGGACAATCCTGCCTCCATCGCCCCCTCTTGAGCCTGGGCAGGATGGCGGCTGCTTGGCATAGGAGGTCAGCTTCTGGCTCCTTCTAGAACACTCCATGGGGAGTGGTCTGGCCCAAATGATCAGCACTATTTTTAGAACAAAGGGTAGCTTTCAGCCTTGCCAGCTACAGGGCAATACAGAGCATTCTACTAACCATCCTGGGGCACATGTCTTGCTTTGTGATGAACTATGCAGACAGGCCCCGCCCGACATACGACGGTGTCAAAGTGATACCCATTCTGCAGACCACACTGGAATTTCAGTGGATCTTTTCCCAGGATAGCAGTACATGATCAGCTCCTCCCCGTGGGCTGGGCCCAAAGCTCTGCTCCCAGTCACCAGGGAAAGGACTGTGTGCTGCAGTGCACTGTGGGCTGGGGGAGGAAGTACACTAAGCTGGCTGAATGAGATGCATTTTCCACGTGCAACATTTTCAGGGTACGCTGGGTCAGACAAGCCCATCGGACGTCCAGGGGCATCTCCACTGTGAGTCTTTACATAAAGGTGAAATCAGAACCAAGGCCACAGTTGGCTAAAGGGGAAAAACCAGTTCTGCAGGAGGGATGGGGCTGTCACAGGGTCCTGGGCGTTACTGACAGCACCTGAGGACCCACACTGCTCCTGCCCCGGGCCCACGTGGGACGCTGCAAAACAGACACTTCAGGCATTTATGAGCTGGGCCGCGCCCAGCCAGCAAGCACCCTGATGCCACTCTCATCCAAAAGGAAGGGGATACGGACAGGGCAGGAAAACAATGACAGGGAGGGGAATAGAAGCTGGAGAGCCCCAAGCCCTCACACACTCACACCTCCACCAACCCAAACACTCACACCTCAGCTCACCGCCCGCCACGGCCGCCTCCACCATGTCCGTCTGCTCCAGCAACCTGAGCTACGGCAGCAACGTCTGCATGCCCGGCTCCTGTGACCCCTGCCCCGACTCCTGGCAGGTGGACGACTGCCCAGAGAGCTGCTGCGAGCCCCCCTGCTGCGCCCCCAGCTGCTGCGCCCCAGCCCCCTCCGTGACCCTCGTCTGCACCCCAGGGAGCTGCCAGTCAGCGTGCACCAGCTCCTGCACGCCCCTGTGCTGCCAGCAGTCTAGCTGCCAGCCCTCATGCTGCTCCTCCAACCCCTGCCAGCAGCCCAGCTGTGTGACCCTCTGCTGCAAGCCCCTGAGCTGTGTGTCCATCTCCTGTGTGCCCGTCTGCTCTGGGACCCCTTCCTCCTGCTGCCAGCAGTCTAGCTGCCAGCCGTCCTGCTGCTCCTCCAACCCCTGCCAGCAGCCCAGCTATCTGACCCTCTGCTGCAAGCCCGTGAGCTGTGTGCCCGTCTGCTCTGGGGACTCCTCCCCCAGCTGCCAGTCCTTGTGCTGCTCCTCCAACCCCTGCCAGCAGCCCAGCTATCTAACCCTCTGCTGCAGGCCCGTGAGCTGTGTGCCTGTCTCCTGTGTGCCCGTCTGCTCTGGGGACTCCTCCCCCTGCTGCCAGCAGTCTAGCTGCCAGCCATCCTGCTGCTCCTCCCCCTGCCAGCAGCCCAGCTGTGTGACCCTCTGCTGCAAGCCCGTGAGCTGTGTGCCCGTCTGCTCTGGGGACTCCTCCCCCTGCTGCCAGCCGTCCTGCAGCCCCTCCCCCTGCCAGCAGCCCAGCCGTGTGACCCTCTGCTGCAAGCCCCTGAGCTGTGTGCCCGTCTGCCCACGCCCCTCGTGCTGCCAGCCCAGCCCCTGCCCCTCGTCCTGCTGCAGACCCTCCTCCTGCGTGTCCCTGCTCTGCCGCCCCGTGTGCAGGCCCGCCTGCTGCGTGCCCGCCCCCTCCTGCCAGCCCAGCTGCTGCCGCCCGGCCTCCTGCGTGTCCCTGCTCTGCCGCCCCGCCTGCTCCCGCCCCGCCTGCTGCGGCCTCTCCTCGGGACAGTCCTGCTGCTGACCGGCATGCTCCTCTGGGCCCTCCTCGTGGCTCTGCCCCTCCAAGCCCTGTCCTGATCCAGGTCGGGTCCCCATGCGTCCAGCATGCTGACTGACCTCTCTCCTGCCCCCAGGTCTCCTGTGTCCCCAGGATCTGCTCTGGGTCGCTTGGCCTCAGCCTCGGCCTTTAGTGCCTTATGGGTTCCCCAATAAACCGCCCTGAGCATCTGACGCCTCTCCTCCGTCGTTCACGGGTGGGGATGGTATGAGCAGCTGTCAATCACCTCCAGACACAGTGTTTCCGCAGATCACAGAGGACGTGGGCCACTCGTGTGGAGGGCCCCAGGTGGGCCCAAGCCACGCCCTCGTGCTGAGAGCTTCCCAAGGCTGCTCCCGCCGTCCGGTGTTGGTCTGGGGTGATGCCGGCCCCGAGGGCCGTCGGGGCAGATCTGTCCTGTCCTGCAGCAGAGTCCCAGGGGGCCGGCCTGAGGCTACAGGGCGTGGTCCCCGGGGGACTCCTGTCTTTGCCGCGATGTGTGCAGACAGGAGCTGCTCCAGTTCAGAGGCCAGAGACGACCCGGCTGGGGACAGGCGCACTCCAGAGAGGGAGGACGTGCGGCAGCCGCACAGCCACACTGCGCAGGTCTCCCCTGGGAGCCTCAGGCCCTGCAGCGGCCGTCAGAGGCAGGGAGCGGGGCTCCGGGCCTGAGCCTGTGCTCACACGTGACACGCGGTCACCTCTGAGGGGCTGCGGTAGAAAGGCGGGCGCCGGGCGCCCCAGGGGCTCAGTCTGGAAGGCCTACCCGGGAACGCAGAACTGCAGAGACCTCGGGGCAAACCCCAGCTAAGAACGACTCGGGAGCGAGACGCGAGGCCGGCAGTGGATGCTGCCGCCCGCGGCCGCGTGCCAGGCAGGGGCGCAGGGAGCGAGGGGGCAGCGCCTCTCGGTCCGCGCCCGCCCTCACCTGAGAGCCAGCCTTCAGTCCGAGGAGCACGCTCCCTCCTGCCGTCAGCGCCGCAGGGCAGGCGGGTCAGGGGCCGGCCGCGGGCAGAACAGGAGCAGAGTGACACGATGGATGCGGTGCGGCCGTCCCCCCCGACTGCGCCCACTGCCCGTCCGCGCTCGGGCGCAGCCAGGCCCACCCTCAGCGCTCGGTCCCCCCAGGGCTGCGCCGGGACGCACCGCACGCGCCGCAACATCACGCACTCACCGCCTCCTCGGCGGCCCCTGCTCCCAGCCGGGCTAAGCGCTCCTGGCCACTTTCTGTCCTGCTCCTACTCACTTCCTGTCGGGCTCCTGACGTACTTCCTGTCCGCTCCTCCCACTTCCTGTCTGCTCCTCGCCACTTCCTGTCGGGCTCCTGACGTACTTCCTGTCCGCTCCTGGCCCACTTCCTGTCTGCTCCTCGCCACTTCCTGTCGGACTCCTGACGTACTTCCTGTCTGCTCCTGGCCCACTTCCTGTCTGCTCCTATTCACTTCTTGTCTGCTCCTCTCCACTTCCTGTCGGGTTCCTGATGTACTTCCTGTACGCTCCTGGCCCACTTCCTGTCTGCTCCTCGCCACTTCCTGTCCTGCTCCCACACACTTCCTTTCCACTCCTCACCTCTTCCTGTCTGCTCCTCCCACTTCCTGTCTACTCACCACTTCCTGTCCGCTCCTGGCCCACTTCCTGTCTGCTCCTTCCACTTCCTGTCTGCTCCTCACCACTTCCTGTCCACTCCTGGCCCACTTCCTGTCTGCTCCTTCCACTTCCTGTCTGCTCCTCACCACTTCCTGTCCACTCCTGGCTCACTTCCTGTCTGCTCCTCGACACTTCCTGTCTTTCTCCCACACATTTCCTATCTGTTCCTGCCGCGCTCACGGCCCTCTCGCGAGTCTGGAGGCCCGGCTGCCAAGTTGTGTCTGGTGTTTTTCTCGGTGTTAGCGGTCGCGTTCGGCGCCCTTGCTAATGTGACTTGTGGGAGGTGGAAGATGATTTTTCTGTCAACAGCCAGTTGTCTTTTTAGGAAGTTTGTCCGCTTTGAAACAGTCTTCCCGAGCAGTTCCTTGCAGGTGGCCACTGGGGTGCCTGGGACCGAGCGCTCCGTCCACTTCTAGTCAGCTCCCTGCGAATGCCCAGGACCCAAGGCCTTGCGTCCCTGACACCCGTGCGGGAGACCCGGATGACGCCCCGGCCCCTGATGTGGCCACTGGGAGTGAATCAGCGGGGGAAGACCTCTCTCTCCTCTTCGTTCTGTCGCTCTGCCTTTCAATAAAAAATAAATAAAACTTACGTACTTCTGCTGTTTGCACTTTGTCCCACTGATCTGTGGCATTCGCTCTAGCCCCAGGTGTCTCGGGTACTTCAGCTCGCTAATACAGTTTATGTTTTCTTTTTAAATATTTATTTCTTTGAAAGTCAGAGTTACATAGAGAGAGGAGAGGCAGAGAGAGAGAGAGAGAGGTCTTCCATTCAATGGTTCACTCCCCAGTTGGCCGCAATGGCCAGAGGCAGGAGCCAGGAGCTTCTTCCAGGTCTCCCACATGGGTGCAGGGGCCCAAGGACTTGGGCCATCTTCTACTGCTTTCCCAGGCCACAGCAGAGAGCTGGATCGGAAGTGGAGCAGCTGGGTCTCGAACCAGCGCCCATATGGGATGCTGGTGCTTCAGGCCAGGGTGTTAACCGGCTGCACCACAATGCTGGCCCCTCGCTAATACAATTCAATAAGTGATGAGGAAGGCACTTTCTTGTTCTCCAGCAAGTTCCGTCTTGTATAGATCCTCTTCTCGCTTTTCAAGTTTCTCACATTACTTTTGAAACTCCTGAAATTTTTATTAGGATTGCATTGAATTTTTTGATACTTAGGAGGAAACCATAATTTTGAAAACTGCCTCCCAGTGACATGGTAGAATGTGTCCCTTTGGGATTTCATTATGGCCATATGTAGATCTTACACATTCGTATATGGAGTAACTCCCAGGTGTTGCACAGATGTTTTGCTATTGTGAACAGGAAAGGTGTTTGTTGCTATCTTAGTAAATAAATCTTGTGTACAATTTCTATATGTTTTATTTACCTATATAGACAGTGTGGAATCATATTTAGTTCTTTGCAAATTCTTTTATTCTAAAAGTTTGCTGGTTGATTTTTCTTGGGTTTTGTATGTGAACATTGAGATCGAACTTCCGTTTCACTTGCTATACCGCTCGTTTCTACTTTGTCTTCCTGATGCACCTTGGGCCCTCAGGGTTGCGTGAAGAGAACACAGGCCCTCACCAGGGAGGATGCTTCGGGTGTTCACCAGTGCGCATGGGGCTTGTGACGGCTCCAGGAGACACAATTCATTTTTAAACCAAGTCCTTTCCCGGGTTACTCTCAGTTTTCCTTTACTAGAATCAAGAGGGGACATTTAGGGACATTCCAGAATTGTGGTCACATCTGAGGCACATGTTATGAATACCCCTTTATCTCCAATAAGAACAAGCGTAATCGTCAGGTGGGGGAAGAAACCCGCCAACTCCATATAGGATGGTACTGGTCCTTTTGTCATGACTACAAAGAAATGCCTGCCACTGTGCGACCATATGAAGAAAGGAGGGCTACTTCTTAGCTTATAGTTTTAGGCTGAAGGCCTGAGGTGAGGCAGTCTATTGGTTAGGCCTCTGGTTAGGGCCCGGTGGCAGAAGGCACGTGGCAGCAGTGCGTGTTGGGTAGGGGGGAGATCACACCGCCAAGCATGAAGCCAGGGAGCTGGGGGCAGGCGGTGGGGAGAAGCTCGCTCTTCTCACAGCAACCTCTGTGAGTCCTGACTCAGAGGTCCCATGAGAGCCACCCTCGTTCCTTCTGAGGACAGTCCCCCAGTGACCCCATCATCCTACCAGGCCTCACCCCATACGGCCTGGCACCTCGACACTGACACATGGGGGCAACACACATCCAGACTTCAGCAAGGACAAAACTCAGTGACCGGGTTCCACCCGAGGCAAGTGGAGAGGGAGAAACAGCCAACTGCAAGCGTTGCTGACGCCCATGCAGGGGAACCAGAGGGGCTGACGAGGGTCTGATGTCCCTGCGGACAGGAGACTCCCAGGGCTTCTCTGGGAAAGACGAGGCGGTGGAGGACAAGTTCATCCTCCCCACTGAGTTCAGGTCTGACAGGGCTGGGCCCCTCTGGCCAGTGGGAATCCTGAAACCCACCCACCAGCCTTCCCTCCGGGGCAGGGTCCCAACCCTCCCCACCTGCAGATCAAATACTGCTGAGACCGAACGTGGGGTGCACCAAGAGAACTGGGTGGGAAACCCACAGAGAACCAACAGAACTGGGTGGGAAAATCCACAGAGAACCAACAGAACTGGGTGGAGCAAGGCCCAGATCACACAGGGCCAGGAATAGTTGCTGTGTCCAGTGTTAGGACAGTGGACACAGTACTCAGAAGGACCCTGCCTCAGCGGGGGAGGTGAAGTTAACCCAGAGCAACCATGACATCTGCAGAAACTTAGGTGCAGGACTCAACAGAAAAAAAACTAGAAAGCAGTCAGAGGAAATTCACAGGAATACGCAGCACCCAGCACCCAGCACCCAGCAAGGCTCAGTGCATGCCTCAAGATATTACCAGGCACACAGAGAGGCAGGAGAGTGTAGACCATTTTGAGGATAAAATCACTGTAAACCAACCCAGGAATGTCACCGATCACAGAGTGAGGGAGTGAGCACATCCTGCACGTTCCAAATGCCAGAGACGATCAGGCACACGGAGGAACCACGAGGAGGATGTCTAGCAGGACACTGATGGAACATCTGGAGAGTGAAACCGCAGGGTCTGAGCTGGAAATACACCGACGGGTGCAGAGCAGGTGCTGCCGAAGAAACGCCGGGAACCGGAAAGGCAGCAGCGTCGACTCCCTGGAATGAAACAGAGAAGAAGTAATAAAGCATCCCAAGTGAAGTGAGCTACAGGAAAACCTCCAGGAGCCTCATCTGTGGGCAACACGAGTCCCCAGATAAGAAGAGAAGGAGGAGTAGAAAAGACATTGTCTGGGCCCAGCACTGCAGCGTAGCAGGTAAAGTCACCTGCGGCACTGGCATCCCATATGGATGTCGGTTCGAGTCCCAGCTGCCCCTCTTCCGATCCAGCTCTGCTGTGGCCTGGGAAAGCATCAGAAGATGCCCAAGTGCTTGGGCCCCTGCACCCATGTAGGAGACCCAGAAGAAGCTCCTGGCTCCTGGCTTCAGATCAGCGCAGCTCCAGCCATTGCAGCCAACTGGGGAGTAAACCAGCGGATGGAAGACCTCTCTCTCTCTCTCTCTCTCTCTCTCTCTCTCTCTCTCTCTCTCCCCCCTCTCTCTCCGCCTCTGCCTCTCTGTAACTGTCTTTCAAATAAATCTTTAAAAAAAAAAAAAGACATAGATTGGATAAAATGGCAGCTCCCAGCTGAGCTTCCTGCAAGAAGTGCACTCTAAGTATAACGATGTAAACAGGTTAGCATTTTTAATGGGGGTGGGCGGTTGGTGTAGAGGTTAAAGTCCCACTTGGGAGCCTGCATTCCATATCTGAGGGCTCAGGTTTGAGTCCTGATTCCTCTCTCAACTCCAGGATCCTGCCGAGGTGTGTCCTGGGAGGCACGGGAATGGCTCAAGTGCTCTGGCCTCTGCCCCTGCACGAGGGAGACCCAGATTGAGTCCCTGGCTCCCGGCTTCAGTCTGCCTTGGCCCCTGGATGTTGAAATCCACAGTTATAGAGAAAGAGAGAAATCTTCCATCCACTGGTTCACTTCCCCAAATGGCCGCAGCAGCTAGGGCTGAGCCAGGCCAAGGCCAGGAGCCAGAAGCTTCTTCTGGATCTCCCATGCAGGTGCAGGAGCCCAAAGCCTTGGGCCATCTTCCACTGCTTTCCCAGGCCATTGACAGGGAGCTGGATTGGATATGGAGCAGCCAAGACTTGAACCAGTGTCCATATAGGATGCCAGCGTGGCAGGAAGCGGCTTTACCTGCTCCACCACAACACCAGCCCCATGCTGTCATTAGTTTAAGTTGCAGTTCGCTAAGGCCGTACGTGTGAGGCCTCTTTCCACGTGTTGATTTACCATCCATGGATCTTCTCTGTCGAGTTGCCTGTTCAGCGCTTTTGTCCATTTTTAATTCCAGTTGTTTTCTTACTGTTGAGTTTTTAAGTGTTCATTGCTTATTTTGCCATCCTTTCTCAGACGTGTCTTTTGCAAATGTTTTCTCTGAATCAGTGGCTTTTCTTCTCATTCTCTTGATGAATTTTATCCATATTAAATCATACAAGGGGTGGGACTTCCTGTAGAGACTCAGCACAGCACCTTGTGGTGGTGCCTGGTGAAACGCAGATGGGCCTGAGTATTTGCAGCTGCCTGGTGTCTGCACGTGGGTTAGCCACCTTGGGATGGAGGAAGACGAAGCTGCTCACGAGTCCCCAGTCTGACCTCTGACCCCGTGCATCTCCCATGCTCTCCCTCCTTGAGTGGGCTGCACGTAGCACAGCGCTGTCGGCTGTGTTGGGAGTCTGTGATTCCTGTGCAACACGGGTTTGGGAGGAAACGAGGAGTCCGCCTTCTCACCTCGTCTCCTTGCTGATCAGGGAGCACCGGCAGTTCTGGAATCTCCTGGCTGATTGGTTATTTCCTTATGTGCAGAAAAACAAAGTAAAATATAGCAGTAAAAAAAATGGATGCACGGGGATCGGCGTTGTGGCAAGGCAGATTAAGCTGCTACCCGTGACACCGCCACGTAAGCAGGGTTCGAGTCCCGGCTGCTCCACTGCCAGTCCAGCTCCCTGCTAATGCACCTGGGAAAGCAGCTGAAGACGGCCCAGGCACTCGGGCCCTGCACCCACGTGGGAGACCTGGATGGAGCTCCAGGCTCCCGGGTTTGGTCTGGCCCAGCCCTGACAGTTACAGGCATTTGGGGAATGAATGAACCAGTGGATGGAAGTGCGCTCTCTCTCTCTCTCACTCTCCCCATCCCTCCTTACACTCCCTGTCTCTCCCTATCTCTGCCTTCAAATAAATAAAAAAAAATCTTTTTAAAAATAGGTGTGTGGATGTCAATCAGCACGTAAGATGCTGGCAGTCCTCCGTCCTCAGGCAAACATTGGCTGAGCCACGGGGAGAGGCCCCACCCTGTTAACTGATGCAGATGAGAAGGGCCAACCCTGCCTGGTGTCGGGGTGGGGGGGTGAGGGGGCGGGAGGGAGGCGGAGGAGCCGGAACTCCGCACTGTTGGTGGATGGGTAAACAGCCAGCGCTCCGGGAAGCACGCTGTCTATGCTCAACACATCATTAGTCACCAGGGCAATGCAAATGCAAACAGCAAGAGACCACTGCACACCCACTAGAACGGGCGAGAAAATTTGCAGCATCAAGAGCTGGCAAGGATGCAAAGAACCAGAACTTTCCACCTTGCTGGCCAAGTACCGGAGGGCACGTTCCGGAAGACTGTCGGTGTCACGAAGTTAAACATACTTGGGCCATACAACCCTGCAATGCCACCCCCAAGGGTCCATCTCAGAGAAGTGGAAACTAAAGCACGCACAAAACCACACACAGCAATGCCTGTAGCGGCCTTGGAGACGAGATACAGTTCACGGGCCGAACGTGGGAGCAGTGCAGCGTGCAGAAGTGTGCTCTGAGCGGAGAGGGACCAGGGAGTGCAGGGTCCGGGGTCCTGCTGAGGGGAAGAACGCGGGCCCAGCAGGCGGTGTGCGTGAGCGCCCACCTGGGTGGGGACAGGGACAGCAGTGGCCACGCTGGGCCAACGCGAGGGCACGGAGCTGCCCCGTGCGGTCCCCCGGTGATGACAGGACAGGGCATTGGTCAGACACCCACCCTACACCGCAGAGGGGTCCCGGCTCCGGGGGCCGCGCCACGCAGTTCATGGGAAAATGGAGCAGAAAACTCTCTATTCTGGAGCAAATCCTCTCAAAATCTATGCAATGTTTTTCTTTTTTCTTTTTTTTAACAAAAAGAGTTTATTTATTTATTTATTGGAGAGGCAGAGTTACAGACAGAGAGAGGGAGACACAGACAGTGATCTTCCATCTGCTTCAGTCCCCAAATGGCCACAATGGCCGGAGCTTCTTCCAGGTCCCCCAGGCAGGTGAGGGGCCCAGGCACTCGGGCCGTCTTCCGCTGCTTTCCCAGGCCACAGCAGGGAGCTGGACTGGAAGAGAAGCAGCAGAACTCAAACCAGCCACTCCAGTGTGGGACACGGGCAGTGGCCTATGCGCCTGGCCACAGCGTCACCAAGAGGGTGTGAGGCTCCTGCCTTGCCGGTCCCTCAGCGGCTCTCTCCCGCCTGGCCGCCCTTCGGTTCTGGGGTGGCAGCAGCAGGTGGGCGGAGGGGCCCTTGCTCAGCTCCACACTCCTGGGTGCAGATGGCAGAAAGGCAGGCGGGAGCCTGGCCACAGAGCAGGCGGCAGGGGCTGTTTCCCAGCTGTTTGCTTAGAGAACAGGGCGTCCCCAACCCTCCATCCGCGTGTGCGAGCGGAGCCAACCCCTGTAAATAAACCAGGAATCACCAGGCTCCCAGACGCAGCTCCAACAGCAACAAGCAAAGGGAAGACTCTGTGAGCTTCCTGCAGGGACAACACACGCCCCAGCCAGGTATAAAAGCCCCACAGCCCCGAGCACCCCACTCACTCACCCACTCACCCCTGCCCAGCTCACCGCCCGCCACGGCCGCCTCCACCATGTCCGTCTGCTCCAGCAACCTGAGCTACGGCAGCAACGTCTGCATGCCCGGCTCCTGTGACCCCTGCCCCGACTCCTGGCAGGTGGACGACTGCCCAGAGAGCTGCTGCGAGCCCCCCTGCTGCGCCCCCAGCTGCTGCGCCCCAGCCCCCTCCGTGACCCTCGTCTGCGCCCCAGGGAGCTGCCAGTCAGCGTGCACCAGCTCCTGCATGCCCCTGTGCTGCCAGCAGTCTAGCTGCCAGCCCTCGTGCTGCTCCTCCAACCCCTGCCAGCAGCCCAGCTGTGTGACCCTCTGCTGCAAACCTGTGAGCTGTGTGCCCGTCTGCTCTGGGACCTCCTCCCCCTGCTGCCAGCAGTCTAGCTGCCAGCCCTCGTGCTGCTCTTCCAACCCCTGCCAGCAGCCCAGCTGTGTGACCCTCTGCTGCAAGCCCGTGAGCTGTGTGCCCGTCTCCTGTGTGCCCGTCTGCTCTGGAAGCTCCTCCTCCTGCTGCCAGCAGTCTAGCTGCCAGTCCTCGTGCTGCTCCTCCCCCTGCCAGCAGCCCAGCTATCTGACCCTCTGCTGCAAGCCCCTGAGCTGTGTGCCCGTCTGCTCTGGGGACTCCTCCCCCTGCTGCCAGCCGTCCTGCAGCCCCTCCCCCTGCCAGCAGCCCAGCCGTGTGACCCTCTGCTGCAAGCCCCTGAGCTGTGTGCCCGTCTGCCCACGCCCCTCGTGCTGCCAGCCCAGCCCCTGCCCCTCGTCCTGCTGCAGACCCTCCTCCTGCGTGTCCCTGCTCTGCCGCCCCGTGTGCAGGCCCGCCTGCTGCGTGCCCGCCCCCTCCTGCCAGCCCAGCTGCTGCCGCCCGGCCTCCTGCGTGTCCCTGCTCTGCCGCCCCGCCTGCTCCCGCCCCACCTGCTGCGGCCTCTCCTCGGGACAGTCCTGCTGCTGACCGGCATGCTCCTCTGTGCCCTCCGCATTACCCTGCACCTCCCATTCATCCCCGGTCTGGTCCTGATCCAGGTCAGGTCCCTGTGTGTCCACCTTGCTGACTGACCTCCCTCGTGCCCCCAGGATCTGCTCTGGGTCACGTGGCCCAACCTCAGCTGTCAGCACCTCGCGGGGCCCCCAGTAAACTGCCCTGAGCACCTGACTTCTCTCCTGTCGTTCATGGGGGGGAGGGCAGACGTCGGTCATCTCTGGCCGGCGGGGAGTTTCTAGGGGGACTGAAGGCCTGGGGATCACAGGGGTCCGGGTGGACCCTGGCCCCACCCAGGAGGGGCTGAGCTGAGCCCTGGATGTGCACCTGGCCGGGGAGGGGCCCACCTGCTCCGTGATTCTCCCCTGTTCTCTGCTGTGCCCTGCTGGGGGTCCTCAGCGTTTTCCGGTGGACCTTGTCCCTGCTCTGTCACTGGCTGGCTTCCAAGCCTCACAACTCCCGCTGTCCCCGCTGGGAAACGCCCCTTTCCCAGAGGGCGCATCCTGCAGGCAGGGAGGGGCCAAGCCACGCCCCCACTCCGCAGGACCAGCTCAGGCGACCCCCACTCCTGGACGCTAACAGAGAACACAGGCCACAGGGGGCTCTCGGCTCTTGGCAGAAGGGCTGCTAGGAGTGGGACCTCGGGCCCGGGGGCGCCCACGGGTTGGGCCTGAGCTGTGCGGTGTGGCCGTCCCACTCGGGTCTCCTGGCTTCAAGCCTTCGCTCTCCGCTGGCTCAGGCCGGGAACCTGGGGCACTCAGCCGCCAGCCCCCAGGTCAACAGGGTTCCCACCCGGCTGCAGCTGAAGCCACAGGGTTCCAGGTCCTGACTGTGGGGACACCGCATGTTTTATAAAGGGTGGTAAATTTAACACAGGACAAATCCTCCCATCCCAGCCATGTTGCGCGGAGCTCAGGGCCACGGAGCAAATTCAGCGGCTGTTCGACCCGGCCCTCCCGGCCCTGGCTGCCCCTCTGCTGTGTGCTCTGTGCAGGGGGCTCCCGTGCCTGGTGTCCCCGTGCCCGGCGTCACCCCACCCCGTGCCTGGGTAACCCCTGTCCGTGGGTCCCCTGTCCCCCGGTCCCCCGTGCCTGGGTCCCCTGTCCCTGGGTCCCCTGTACCTGGGTCCCCCGTGCCTGGGTCCCCTGTTCCCGGGTCCCCCGTACCTGGGTTCCCCTGTCCCCGGGTCCCCCGTACCTGGGTTCCCCTGTCCCCGGGTCCCCCGTGCCTGGGTCCCCTGTCCCTGGGTCCCCCGTCCCTGGGTCCCCCTGTCCCCGGGTCCCCCATCCCTGGGTCCCCTGTCCCTGGGTCCCCGTCGCTGGGTCCCCCTGTGCCTGGGTCCCAATGGCCCTGGGTCCCCCGTGCCTGGGTCCCCTGTCCCTGGGTCCCCCTGTGCCTGGGTCCCCCGTCCCTGGGTCCCCCATGCCTGGGTCCCCTGTCCCTGGGTCCCCCATCCCTGGGTCCCCTGTCCCTGGGTCCCCGTCGCTGGGTCCCCCTGTGCCTGGGTCCCCATGGCCCTGGGTCCCCCGTGCCTGGGTCCCCCTGTCCCTGGCATCCCCAAGGCCCAGCCTTTCCGGGCAGTCAGATCTCCCTCCTTGGCAGAGCTGAGGAGGGTCCCCCCTGCTGACAGACCACGCTCTGTCCCTGGCTACTGCATGGGGCACTCAATGCATCTGGGTGACCACCGGGGGTCACGTGGGCACTGCTCTAAGGAACTGGGGGACTGTGCTCCTGAGTAGTGGCCCCACTGCTGCCGCCACCAGCGGGGCCCACGGGCTGCCCCTCCCCTTCTATGGGAGCTGGGAGGGTGCCTTCCCCTGGGGCCGGCCCTCTCCCACGGATCCCGCCCCTTCCCACAGGCCCCACTCCCGTTAGCCCAGGCCCCTCACCAGCCCCGCCCCTAGCCGGCCCCGCCCTCAGCCCCGCCCCTCCGGCCGGCCCCGCCCTCAGCCCCGCCCCTCCCTCCGCAGAGGCACGAGTACCTGCTCTCCGTGCTGGCCGAGGACGCCGACGCGCTGCTGCTTGGCCTGCGCTACTCGCTGGCGCGGCTGCACTTCCTGTTCCTGCGCCAGGACGCGGCCGGCGCCTGGCAGACCCGCGTGTCGTTCCGCAGCCCCGCGCTCGCCGACGGCCAGTGGCACACGCTGGTCCTGGCCGTGTCTGCAGGCTCCTTCTCGCTCACCACGGACTGCGGCCTCCCGGTGGACGTGTAGGTACCGGGGCGGGGCCGGCGCGGGTGGTGGGCGCTGGGAGGGCCCTGGGGTCCCAGGGCGCTTGTCCCGCTCCTCCCGAATGCCCACGCCTCGGCCTGCCAGACCCACCCCGCGTGGAGAGTCAGCGCTCGAAGCCCCGCGGCCGGCGTCCCTCGTGGGCGCAGCGCGAGCCCCTGCTCCCTGACAGCGCACGCCGCAGCTCCTCACCCTCACCCACGTGGGGGACCCGGGAGGGGCGCCTGGCTCTCCGGCCTGGCCCAGCTAGGGGGTAACCCAGCAGATGGCAGCTCGCTCTCACTCTTTCAAGTCAACCAAATTCTTTTTTTAAAAAAATATTTATTTATGTATAAGAGTTACACAAACAGAGAAGGAGAGGCAGAGAATGAGAGAGAGGTCTTCCATCTGCTGGTTCACTCCCCATTTGGCCTCAACAGCTGGAGCTACACTGATCCGAAGCCAGGAGCCAGGAGTTTCCTCCGGGTCTCCCACGTGGAGCCCAAGGACTTGGGCCATCTTCCACTGCTTTCCCAGGCCATAGCAGAGAGCTGGATTGGAAGTGGAGCAGCCAGGACTCGAACCGGTGCCCACGTGGGATACCAGCACTTCAGGCGGCTTTTACCTGCTACACCACAGCGCTGGCTCCCAACCAAATTCTTAGGATAAATAAATAAAGACAAATAAAGACAGCCGCACGCGGCCTTCTGGCTTCCAGAAGTGGCCTGTGGGGAGCGGCGGGAGGGGCAGGGCAGGGTCCCAGGAGGTCAGGCCAAGGTCAGCCCAGGCAGGGTCCACCAGTGGTGCTGGAGGCCCCGGGCTCTGTCCCTGCCTCCTCCGTCTCTGGGGCCTGACTGGAGGCCCCTGGGCAGCTGGCTGGTGGTGACCTCCTGGCCCTGGGGTGGGAGTGGGAGGCTGCCACTGGCTGGGCCACTCCCTGAAAGCCTGGCTGTGGCCAGGGTGGAGCCAGGAGCTCCATCTGTCCCCCCTACCAAGTGGCAGGAAGCCAGGGTGCGCACAGGCAGGAAGCTGGGGGGCTGGGACGCGGGGGCGGCCGACCCTGCTGTCCCCACTCCTGGGTGCCCTGTGGGGTTGTGCACCAGAGCTGGGGGGCTGGGACGCGGGGGCGGCCGACCCTGCTGTCCCCACTCCTGGGTGCCCTTCGACCGTCACAAAGAAGCCGGTGGCGGTGGTGGAGCTCGTCCGCTGTTCCCGAGCCCACAAAGCTGCCGACTCGGGCCTTGTTAAGGCTCTTTAACCTTTGTGACCTTTGTGGAAATCCATCCTCAGCACATCCCTCGCACACCACACCCCAGATTCGCTAGCGCCCTCTTGTTCTAAAGATTGTGTTTATCTGAAAGGCAGATTGGCGGAGCGAGGAAGAGAGGGAGGGAGAGACAGAGACAGAGACAGAGAGACAGAGGTCTTCCATCCACTGGTTCATTCCCCAGATGGCCGCATGGTCAGGCAGGACCAGGCTGGAGCCAGGAGCCTGGAGCTCCATCCGGGTCTCCCCTGGGGGTGGCAGGGCTTCGGGCACTTGGGGCATCTTACGCTGCGCTCCGAGGTGCATGAGCAGGGAGCTGGTTTGGAAGCGGAGCAGCACCCCACTGGGGCCCTGTTGCCAACAGTCGCTCCTTGGGCTACTGAGAGCCGGAGCCCTGGGTCTGAGATGATGCCCAGGACAGAGGAATCCCCGCCCAGCCCTGACCCCTCCCTGGCAAGGCGCCTCCTGCCTGAATCCATTGTCCCGCTTCCAGGGGAGAGGGCTGTGCAGGAGCGCAGTGGGGATGGGAGGCAGGGGACCCCTGAGCAGGTGCAGACGTCGGGTTCATAGGCGGGCAGGCGACCCCTGTCCTGGGGTGCAGTGCCCCCAGTCTGTCCATCCAGCCTGGCCTGCAAGCAGGGTCGTGGCCGATGTCATCAGGTCAAGATGAGGCCAGGCACCTGCCTGGTGTCCTCATGAGGAGCCACACAGAGATGCCCAGAGACAGCAGCAGCCTAGCAGCCAGGCGAGGGGCCCTGCCCCCACCCCAGGCCTCGCCCTCCGGCCTCTGGACCTGTTTGAGCTGCCCTGGAGGGTGGCCCACGGTGCTCAGGCACTTGTCCCGGGGGTTCCTCACAGCCCTGGCTCCCTTTCCTGTGCACACACAGTGCAGCCGCCTTTGCCTGCTCCCTGAAACTGCCCCATGCTTTCAGAGCCGCCGATGTGCCCTTCCCGGCCACGCTGTCGGTGGGAGGAGCCCGGTTCTTCATCGGCAGCCGGAAGAGAGCCAAGGGGCTGTTCACGGTGAGTGTGGAGCCCACCCTCCTCCCCGCAGGGCCGTCCCCCACGCCTGATGGCCTGACGCTCCAGTGGACCCCGCCATGGATGGGTGGGCAGATGGATGTGTGCCAAAGGGGACCGGGTTCTCTCCTCCTGGCACGTGGCACTCTCGAGTCCCTGTCCACCTGTCCTCCTGCCCCAGCCGCTCTGAAGGGACTGTGCCCATGGCCTGCCTCCCCTCCCCCCGCCCCACCTCCCAGCCCCTGCCCTTACTCACCGCCCCACTGGAGTGTGGGTTGGAAGCCTTGTTCCCTGAGGGTGGGGCTCTTGCTCCTTGCTGTGTCCCCAGTGTCTGGAGCCACGCCTGACACACAGCAGGTACTCTGAATACTGATCAATGGCATTTGTAGAGGATGGATGGACAGAGATGGCTGGATGGACAGACAGCTGGATGATGGATGGACAGATGGGCAGATGGGTGGTTGATGGGTGGGCAGATGGCCTAATGGGTGGGTGGGCAGTGAAGTCTTGTCACTCCAGGTCAGTCCACATGAGGATCTCTCCTGTGGTTTAACCACCTAGAGCCGTGGGCAGCTCACCACCGTGGCTCCCCGTGGCCTCCCCAACAACTGGTTTGCAGAATCTTCTCTCAGCTCTACAGAAGTTACGCATGGACCAGTCTCAAAGATCATGTCCCTCTGCACAGCCACGAGGGCTGAGTGGGCGTCCCTCTCTCCACAGGGCCTGGTGAGGCAGCTGGTCCTGCTGCCAGGCGCGGACGCCACGCCGCGGCTGTGCCCCAGCAGGGACGCCCGGCTCGCCGTGCTGGCCATCCCTCAGGTGCTGCAGGACCTTGCAGGGAGGCCGGAGGACAACGAGGTGCTGAAATATCCCTATGGTTAGTAGCAGAAGCCGCCACTGCCCCACCCCGACGGCAATGCTTGAGAGCCGCGGCATAGATGGGCGTGCTCACCCCTCCACATGCCGGAGCTCCCGGGGCCACCCCTGGGTGGCAGACGGCACCGCAAGAGGCCAGTGACGCCAGCCCTTCCTCCCACGCTCCCACAGCAGTCGTCCTGGCCCTGGCCCCCGAGCAGCTGCCAGGCAGGTGCTCCCTGTCGCACACAGCCCCTCCCCCACCTTCTGACCCTCACCTGGGGGCAGGCTGCGCCACACTGCGCTGAGCACTTGCAGGAGCGCTGGGGCACCCAGGGCCAGGCCCTCGGGAGCACAAGGGCAGGACTGCTGAATCCTGCAGGGAACTGGACCCCTGACTCTTGTCCCCCTGCTGTCCCTGCAGAAACCGACTTGAAGGTGACACTGGGGTCCCAGCCGCCGTGTACCAAGGTGGAAGCCGGCCAGTTCTGGTTGGACGTCAGCCGGAAGGGGCTGTACCTGTGTGTCGGCGGCAAGTGGGTCTCGGTGCTGGCAGGTGAAGGCCCGGGGCTCAGCCTGTAGGGCGGGGAGGCTGGGAGACTGACCAGCCTTGGGGCCACCACGTGAACACATGTGTGACCGTCCTGGATGGGATACTGGTGAGAGGGAGGGAGCGGTCGCCTGGGAGCAGGTGCCACGAGCCCGCCCACTCATTTGGGAAATGTGGTCTTGGGCATGGCAGGTGGGCCGGCAGGGCCGGAGATCCCTTGTCTCCTTCCCAGGGCAGGAGAGGTGGTCCGTGGCTGGCCACTGCCTGCCCACGCCCCATCTGTGAGGTCACAGGTGACACATGACATGGTCTCACATGTAGACACTTTCCCCGCCCCGGTCTCAGGTGCAGGGCGTGACAGAGGCTGGGCAGGGTCTCTTCCCCCCGGGGATGCTCCTGGCTGTGGACTGCACGGGTCGGGGGAAAAGCTTGTCGTAGAAGCCGTGAGCAGCAGCGTGTCAGTGAGGGCTGGCCCCCCAGGCCTCCCCCACGCCTCCCGTGCCAGAGCCCCCTGCAGAAGGAGGCAGGGATGGAGTCCCCGAGCTGGCGCCATCTTTCCACCCGCAGCCAAAGAGAAGCTGGACTACGTGGAGGAGCACCAGCGGCTGCCCACGCACTCGGAGACGCTGGGCATCGAGGTGTTCCGCATCCCCGAGGTGGGGCTCTTCGCGGCCGCGGCCAATCGCAAAGCCACCTCCGCCATCTACAAGTGGACAGCCGGCCGCTTCGTGGCCTACCAGAGCATCCGCACACACCAGGCGCAGTCCTGGAGGCACTTCATCATTGGCAAGCAGGCACGTCGGCCACAGGGCTCGGCTGCGGGAGGCTCTTGGAGCCGCACGCGTGGGGCCCTGTCCTCGGTCCAGGGGTGACTCTCAGGGCCCCGGCCACCTCCCCGGGAGACAGGGTCATTGCAGAGCTGCTGTCGGCCTGGTGCACCTGTCCTCGCTATGCCCCCCGTCGGGGCCTTGCCGGTCAGCAGCCCTCAGGTTGCTGCGTTCTGCACACCCGGCCGTGCCTCTGCCCGCCGTGCACACACAGAGGCCCACGGCCACAGAGGGGGTGAGGCCGCCGGCTGGAAGCTCCCTCCCCCAGGGCTGGGCCCTGGCATCACGGCACAGAGGACCGAACTTTCTCTTCCCAGCCCCTCTACGCCAAACAGCGTCCCGGGGACTATGTCCTCCAGATGGTCATCCCCCAACACGGGGGTCCCCGGCACAGCCAGGGCGCTGCGCGGCTCTGCATGCCACAGCAGGCCCTGGAGATGACAGGCAATATGGGGAGGGCCCGGCCGCCACCGGTGCTCGCTGCTCAGCCGACCGCTGAAGAATGTTCCGGGGCTCTTCCAGAAGCTGGCAGTCCTGTTCTGTTTTGCTCTTTGTTTTCAGGCAGAGAGAGGAGTGGACGGGGCGGCTGCAGACCGAGGGTGGGGGAGGGTCTGGGCGAGTGCCTTGGCCGTCGGGCGCAGGCTCTGCAGGCACCACTGACGTGGCGGCCGCATTGTCCCGGCTGCTCCCTGCAGATCTTCCTGGCCGTGGCCAACTTCGCACCCAACGACAGGGGCCAGGAGTTCTCGGTCATCTACAAGTGGAGCGCCAGGAGGCAGAAGTTCACCCCATACCAGCGGATCAGCACCCACAGCGCCCGGGACTGGGAGGCCTTCCAGGTGGACGGGGAGCACTTCCTGGCTGTGGCCAACCACCGGGAAGGTGCGGCTGCTTGGGCCGGGGATGGGGTTCTGTCTCAGTCAGCGGCCGGAAGTCCCCCTGCCCAGCCCCCTGCCGTGTGGCCTGGTGAGGGACACACAGGAGGTCCTGAGTCCCTGAGGTTCCTGTCGGCAGGAAACCAGGCTGCCGGGCTCAGTGTAGACGGCTCCAGGGCCCTGCTGCTTGGAAGCGAGCTGATGAGCAGACTGATGAGCCAGCTAAGCAGCTGGGCACTAGTGAGCTAACGGGCCGGGTTCACAGAGCAGGTGCACAGGGGGCAGCAGGGAGACACGGGAGTGGCCACAGCAGATGCTGGGGCTCGAAGGCCCTGTTTACCCGAGAATGGGCTCAGACTCTGAACCCTCCACTGTGCCGGGACGGGGGGGGAGTGCTGGGAGAGGTCTCTCCCCAAAGTTGCCCATCGAGCCTCCCAGTCCTATTCTCCTAGGGGTGTGGATGAGGTGCGGGCAGCAGCCACCCTGCAGGAGCCTCTGGCCCCAGCTCTCCCTGCCTGGGCGCCACAGCAGGCCTGTGCCTGAGGCCCCCCTGCCCCCACCGTGCAGGCCTGTGGTGGGCCGAGGGGTTTCCTGGGGCACCCCAGAGGCAGGCCTGGGGAGGTGGGCCCAGCCAGCTTCAGGGAGCACTCTCAGAGCGTGTGAAAGTTTGGCCTTGGGGGACCAGGAGGGAAGGGTTATACACCGGGGGGGGGTGAGGCTGGGGAGCCAGGTGGAGTCCCCCCTATGGGACCCTGGGGGACTTCCGTGGGGCTGCAGCATGTTCTGGAAGGTGTGGGAGCCACCAGGCATTTTCACCGGGGCACAGCAGAGCCAGGGGTGGGGTCCCTGGGCTCTGGGCCACCTCCCCGCCCTGACGCTGGCCTGCGTTCCAGGCGACAACCACAACGTTGACAGCGTCATCTACAAGTGGAACCCCCAGACCCGCCTGTTCGAGGCCAACCAGACCATCGCCACGTCGGGCGCCTATGACTGGGAGTTCTTCACCGTGGGGCCCTACTCCTTCCTGGCCGTGGCCAACACCTTCAACGGCACCTCCACCAGGGTGCACTCCCACCTGTACATCTGGCTGGTCGGCTCCTTCCGCCTCTTCCAGTCCTTCCTGGTAAGTAGTTGCCGGCCACGGGACCGGGAGGGACCAGGAGGGAAGAGCCCACCCGAGAAAGGCTCTGTTAGCCCAAGCTCGGCGTGGGAGGCCTGGGATTGGGGTGAGGGCCACCTGGCTCTGTTCCTCAACCCCCCCAGGTCAAGTGACATGGGTGCCACCCACACTCTCCCACAGTCTCTGGGTGTCGGAGTCCAGCCTGGGGGCAGTGTGGGACTGGTGGAGCCGCACAGGTGTCCACGGTGGACCAGGAGTGCCCCAGGCCAACTCCAGCCGCCACGGACTGGCAAGACTTCCCGGTGGGGTGGCACTGAGCACCTGGACGAGGTCAAGCTTTGCTGCCCCGCCTGTGGGGGGACAGGCCAGGAGCTGAGGGGCGGGGCCTGGCTGTGACCTGAAGGACCCCAGGAAGGGGAGTTGAGAGGCAGAGCCTGGCTGTGACCTGGAGGAGGACAGCCCTGGGAGGGGGGTTTTGGGGCAGGGCCTGGCTGTGACCAGCAGGAGGATAGCCCTGGGGGGTGAGGGGCAGGTGGCAGGGAGGGCTGTAGCAGGACAGCAGACACAGCCAGGAGGCCCCTGGTCAGCGGGCATGCAGAGGGCCCCTCCCAGCACTGCTGGGGGCTGCACATGACACCTCCCTCATCCCTGCAAGCCCACGGAAGCCATTGTCCTGGGGAGGCTGCACATGACACCTCCCTCATCCCTGCAAGCCCACGGAAGCCATTGTCCTGGAGCGGTCTAATTAGTTTGCTCTTTGGTTTTCCTGCAATGTCACAGCGCCCAGCTGGGAGGCTCCAGAGGGCCTGTGGGGCGGGCGGCTCCCGGGGGCAAGGCCGCGACCTCTGCCCTGGGGCCCAGAGGAAGGGCAGGTGGGGAGGCAGAAGTAGGGAGCACATTCCTTGGCTCAGATCTCAAGTCTGCCCCCTCCTCCCTGGGATTCTAGAACGTTCCCTCAAGTGGCAGAGACTGATAGTCTCATCAGTTTGTACCTAAGGAGGTGCGAGCTCTGTCCCTGGGAATGCAGCCTCTGGTGGCGGGAGTCCTGCCCTGAGGGACAGCTGCTGGGCCGTGGTCAGGGGGTGTCACTCAGATGGGAGAGGCTGGGAGGGAAGGGGCTTCCAACCACACTCTGGGTCTGTTGCCCGCAGGGCCTGGCCGATGCACCTGCTGCAGACTTGGGGCAGACTGCGAGTGGGGGGTGCTCAGTCAAGAACAGGAGGACCTGAGAGACAGGCTGGGGGGCAGGCCAGGGAGATGGTCCAGGGTGAAGCCGTGGGCTCTGAGAAGCCTATCTCCCTGAAGACCATACAGGTCCAGGGAGACGGGAAGGCAGAGAAGCTGGATGGAGATCCCAGACTGAACACAGGCCCCACCTTGCCCCCTGCCCTAAACCCCTAGACGGGCCGAGAAAACTCATGCAGCACACATGCATGTACACATGCGTATGCACACACATGCACACAAGCACACATGCACACACATGCACTGTGCACACGGGGATGCTGTGGGTGCTGTGGCGGCTCTGCGTGCTGGCGCCGTCAGTTCTGGAGGTTTCTCATCTCCTCCAGTGCCCCACCCCAGGGCCTCACTGTCTCAGCCTCCTCCCTGCCCCCGCACCCACACCAGGCCACTCAGTGGTGCTGTCATGCCCGGCACGTCGGCACCTGAAGCACTGCCGCGAGCCCAGTGCAGGGCCTCAGTGCCATGGCCCCAGGCCCCACGGTGACAGCCGCTATTCCATTCCCCACACAGAAGGGTCTGGGGCAGGCCTAACCACCAGCAATGACCTGGCTGCTGCCCGGCATCAGATGTCCACACTGGCCAGGCAGACCTGGGGCAGGATTGGCTTCCCAGTGGGTTTGCTACCGGCCTGAGTCACTCTGTGGCTTTGGAACCAGGGCTGGGAGGCAGAGGGGGAAGGGCAAGGACCACAGCAGCCACCACCACCACGTTGCAGGGATCGCTCGCCACAGGTGTGGCCCCAACACGGCACCACAGGATTCCTGAAGGTCAAGACCACTGCTCCCCCCCACACCTGCACCTGTGATGCACACACGAGTGCACGCTCGTTTCCAGCTGGGTAGTAGGGCAGGAGGCGCCATGGACAGAGCCCCAGTGGGCACAGCTCTGGGACAGGCAGCCTGCGGGTGGCAGCATGGTGGTGAGGCAGACAGGCACTGAGCCGGCACACACCTGCTGTGAGACCCGAGCCACACACATGCTTGTTTTTGTATCTGCAAGGTGGGTGTGGTGTCCCAGTGTCCTTCCTGGAGGTCAGCATGGCCCTAGGAGGGGCTACATGGGGCTGGGTAGGGGCAGGGCTCTGGAAGCCCGGCAGCTGGACCTCGTGGCTTCTGCCTTTGCCTTGACTGGAGCTGGCAGTGGCCTAGGCACTTGGGGCAGGCACCAGGTTTGGGGGCACTGCTGAAGCTAAGGGGGAGCACAGAGGACACCCAGGAACTGGCTGGGGAGTGTGCTGAGCCTGGGCCCCCAGGATCACACCCCTTGGTAGCACTGGCCCCTGAAGCCTCCGGAGACAGCTGCCCATGGTAAGGACGGCAGTGTCCCTTGCCAGGGCCCTTTGGGGGCTGTTTGCTGTCTCCCAGTAACTCAGAGGGAGACCCTAGTCGTGCATCCCCTTTCCTCCTACTGGATGCCCTCGGACCACAGAGGCGTCCTTCCAGGCCCCATCAAAGCTGCAACCCAAAGGCCTCCATGCCCAGCTGCTAGCCGGCTGACTGCCAGATCCCCAGGCACCCTCAACGGAACTGCTGGGGCTCCTGCCAAGACCCTGAAGGCCCACCTCGCATCATGGTGCTTCCACGCCCACCGGCTCAGTGCCCAGGCAGCAGGGCAGGGCTCCAGGGGAATCCCACTGGGAAGGAGGGAGGGGCCTGCCCAGCCCAGCAGGTGCCTGGTTGCCTGGCTCTGGTGCCAGGCAGGGTTTGGCAGGGCTGTTTGATGTGGGGTTTCTTCTGCTGTCCCCCAGGGTGCTGAGAAGCCAGCAGTGGTGCCAGCCCCAGGCTCACACCTGCTGCCAGCTGGGGCTGCCCTGAGGCCACCACCTCCCTTCCCAGTGGGAAAGCCCTCAGCCCGACGTGGGGAGGGCCACAAGCAGCCAGTGCCCGGCCAGCCGTGGGCCTGGATGACTGAAGGCTGGCACTGTGAGCCAGTGGCACCCCATCTGGGTCTCTGCCAGCCCCCAGCCAGGCAGGTACAGGACGCTCTGTTCAGCAGTTCCAGGTAAACAGCGAGTGACCTTGTGAAAATAGGTTCCGAGTAGTGTATGGGACACAGACTGAGAAGGAAGTCACTGGTTACCCGAGGCTTGCGGGCGCTGGGCACCTGTGTTTGCCAGGTAAGCGTCTGACCCGCCAGGCACAGGGAGGGGCTTGAGCTGCCTCATAGCCGTGCTCAGGGCACCTGCCCGGCTCCGGAGGGCTTTAAGGAACCCAGCATCCCTCTGATCACCTCTCTCTCCAGCTCCCTGCCCTGTGGATGGAACCCAGGCCTTCCTAACCCGACCTGAGTGCCCCTCCTGCCTCTGTGTGCTCAGGATCCTGCTGGTCTTTCTGCCTGGATGCCCTTCCTGCCCACCCACCCCTCCTTCCTGCTGCACCTGGAACCTGTCCTGAGCTCCCAAAGTCCCCGGCAGACCCCGGCAGGGAGGGTACTCGTCACTGAGGTGAGCCCTGGTGCGGCCTCAGCCGGATCTCATTACCTGGTGCTGTGGAGAGGGGGGCTGCTCCTCCCCCACCCTCCACGACCTGAGTTGCAATAAGAAGGCGCTGCTGGGCTTTTCCCGGGCAGGAGTTTGGGGCTCCGTGGCCCTGAGCATCCTGGATGTGCAGGCACACGCGTGGATGGCAGGCAGGTGGCAGGGACTCCGCCGGCTCAGAGCTGGAAGGAAGCCCTGGCCTGTGCTGTGTAGGTGTGCAAACATACGGGCCTAGCTATGCAGGCAGGCGCACATGTGTACATACATGTGCACAGACTTTACACGTTTAGGCATGTGTGTATACGTGTATGGAGGTGGGTGTGTATGCATGCATGCAGGTGCAGACATGCATCCTCACGTACATGTGTTCAGGCATTGTGTGATGTGCTGGTTGTGTGCACATGCGTGTTTTGTATGTGTGCACCTGTGGGCAGGCGTGAGACCATCATGTGGGTGTTCATGGGGGTGCCTGCAGGCATCAGCACAGGTGCCTGCCCCCTTCCTGGGTTTCCTGAGGGCTGACTGGGAGGAACTGGTGATTGAGCAGTCCGCCAGCTCCTCTCCACTGACCGGGACACCCTGTGGGGTGCTGACCACTCCTAGCCTGGGAAGCAGCCACCGCGGGAGGGTGCTCAGGGCCACGTGGGCCCTCCGTGCCTCTGAAGCCACTCAGGAGGGCCCAGGGGCTGCTGTCCCCAGCAGGTGGAAGTAGTACCCCTGACCCAGCCAGGCCTTAGCCAGCTCCTGGCCCTCTGAGGGCCGTGGCCATCCTTGTGCTCCTGAGCCTCAGGCTTGTTCTGGACCCACGTCTTCAGCAGCCTCGGGCTTTGGGGTGCACAGGGGCCATGGAGCCAGGCTTTCGGCTCCACTTGAGCAACTTCGACCTTGAGTGGGCAGCAGCACCCTCTGCTGGGTGCAGACAGAACACCTGTTGGGTCAGCCCAGCGGTGCCAGCCAGCAGCCACTGGGACAGGCAGGGAGATCACACAGCACCTGGGCTGCATGGTCCTGGACTCACAGGTGGATGGTCAGCTGACCTGGCAAATAGTGTCTTCTGAGGCTGCTGCCACCCGTGGTTCTCAGCCACCTCCCTTGGGCCTGGGCGGTATGGGAGGCGCCTCAGGCAGGATGCCCGGGACAGCGCAGGGACAACAGCCTCTGTGGGACCCAGGCCTGGAGAAGAGCTGTGGCTGCCAGCTGGCTCTGCTCGTTCAGGCCCTGCCCTCATCCACACGACGGAACCTAGGCAGGGCTGGGGCATGCAGGCAGCGAGCCCACTGAG